CCAAGTGTCTTGGTATGTGGATGGTGAACGGATGACAGGCATCTGATACAGTAACCAATGAAAAGGGGATGAGTCATTGTCGCCGTCAGGTCAATAACCAGGGTTCACTCAGGCGCGATCGCTGTTAATCCGCAAATCAATTTAAGGCTCCTGGTAATAGTGTATGAAACATGGGAGCTTGATAAATTATACACAGATAAAAAAATGTCGGCATCTAAAATACAATCAAACAGTTCAAGCTCTGATTGAATTAAGGCAGGCTTTTCAACAATGGGCCTTACCCTAACCCCCTGATCCGGTCTTAGATTAATATAAATGCGCATTATGTGCATTTTTTCGCTATGGCCAGACTTTCAAAACAGCCTACATCAGGAGATGTGTTTGCAATTACCACACAGCAAAATCATCTGTGGAATTTTGAAGGCGAAATTGCTGTTTCTGATTGCAGCACCCAACCAACTGGAATGTACAAATGTCTGGTTATCCAAGGGTTTGATGTACTCAAATCATACTAGCGGTACTTATTTACCAGTGTAGGGAAACTAGCCATTTTCAGTAGGATGCTGTACTCCTCGAACACCAAAGGGAAAATCCCCATCTATGCTGGATTTTAGGCAAAAAGTTGAAGGAAGTAGGATGAAAATGTTAGCATTTGCTTGGGTTCACGCAGAGGTCCCCAATCGATCTTGCGCTTGAATTGCAAAAGACCTTGTGGTTTGCGTGAGGAATCTTTAAAATGTGTTTTATTAATTATTTCTGTTTTAAATTGCTGGCTCTTAGATTTTTAGTGTGTTTAACGTGAGTTTTCGGCACTGTGGTTTTAAAATTGGGTGATTCTGTTGTGGGCCCAGCATGTGGTCTTGAACCACGTGGGGGCCACTGAACTAACCCTGGCCCGATTACGATTGCCTGATACTCGCGATGAGGACTAAGATAGGAGAGGACGTGGACAGCCGTTTACTTTAGAGCCCAACCACGTTGGTGTCGTGTCGTGTGTGAGTCTTACATGCGCTAACATCGAGACCTAGGTGTGAGGATAATCCAAATATCCGTACGAATGAGGGGGGAGTTGAGGATCCGGGGGGCTGGCGACATGCTGCGAAAAGGGGAACCCAGTGTCAGAGGTGGAGTGACCGCATTAAGGGGTGTGAATAAACATGATTCACAACACCTCCTTAATTTTATTCTAATAGAGGCCTTGCCAGCAACATTCAGCAGCTTTCAAAAATTTATTGCGACTACTGGACAAACGGATCGATCTTCTAACTTTCTCCGTGGAACTCCATAACCACCAAACCAATCAGAAATCAGCGTCATTTTAGCCCATAGTAGCGCACTGCTCCCCCGAAGACCTTAATGAGTGAAGGTGATTGTGCGGAAACCCTTTTTGCAAAAAATGTTGCCTTCAAATTTATGTTGCTCACACTTAGTCTGGTTAAAACTTGACTCCAAACCTAGGCACCGAACGCAGCAAATAACCTACTTGGCACTTTGCAAGCTCAAGTTTGGTCCAGCGAAGCTTCGCTGATTATGCACAAAAGTACCATGACTAAGCAGAAATCCTTTAGACATGTCTGCATATCTTTCACCGCGCCAAACCAAAGCCGTTGATTAACCTGGTGTACCAAAGTACACTAGTAGGCGCTGATGCGTCGAGGCACGTGCGAGGCACAAGATGGGTTTTTCTCTTGTGCTGAACCAGGCTGCGAATAACGCATATGGCGATGTCACGAACAGCACGCGTGTTCGTGTAGTTGGCACGTTCAATTCTGTGGAAGGACTGAAATAGGATCACCCTTTATCTAATGGTACATCGAACTTTAAAATGCGTTTCAAAATTTTGAGCCTACATCAAATATTCTATTTAAACCGTTGCACTTACGTCGGTAAATATGTAAGATAAACTTTGGAGGCGAAATGTCGTTTTGAGAAGAAGGCCTGATATGAGATCTCGAATTTTGATCCTTGTGACTTAATAAAATCGGCTTGTAATACGATGTAATCGGATTAAATGCTATTTCCAAAATAAGGCATTTTCATGAGAGTCTAAATCACACATTCAGAAATAGCAGCAGTCGTTTAATGTGACGTCGGACGCTTGCCAATCTCGGACGCACTTCCTACAATAATCGGGCGCGTCCTAAAAAAACTACTGAGACTACAAATAGCGCCCTCTCAGTTGGGCCTTGGCTGGTTGCATTCGTGTGCCTCGTGCTGGCGTGCAATTAGTTTGCTGACGTGGCTGCCCACATACCTCACTAAAGAGCCAGTCTACCAATCTGCACCAAAAACAGGAAGTTTTAAAATGGCAAAATTTATTCTACGCCACCTTAAGCTGTATGTTTTAACGACCATGTTTGCTCCACGAGTACGCACATAATGCCAAGTGCGTGAATCACCGCCTGTGTGCTCATGGTCGCGTCGGCTCTTCACAAAATCGGTTGCGGTTGATTGATAAATGTGATTCACAAGTCCTGGCTGTTTCCTCACCCTCCCCAACTCTCATTGGCCACGCTCAAGGTCACCACCGTTTACTTATTAATCCAAGTGCCAATGTAAAAATGCAACTGAAGGACATTCTTCTCGCCAAATGAAGCAGTACTGAATTAATGGATCAATATCGATTCCACGATTATGTTTCCTACCTTGAGGTTAATAAATTAAACAAGATTAAAATCCTACTGATTTTCGCATGTCTAGGCACATGGCTTAGATACCCCTTCCGATAATTTCAGCGCTTGCGTATTTTGTTGTGAACCCCAGTGGGTGGTCTTGAAACACGCCGGGGCCACGGAATTAACCCTGTTTCAATTACGTTTGCCTGATACCCGCGATGAAGAAAAGGATCGGAGAGGTCGTGGACACAACCGTTTACTTCAAAGTTCAACCACGTGTCGGAGGTGGAGCGACCGGATTAAGGGTTGTGAATGAACACGATTCAAAACAGCTCTCCCCCTTAGCGAGAGGATTTGGCGAACCTTTTCGTCCACTGGAATTTTTGAAAGGTATTTCGTGGGTTTCGAGTGATTGGGATGTGGCTGTCGATGTGGGTCGGACTGTAAATTCTCTCTTCCTTTGCAAAATAATTCAGCTAACCTTTTCTCCCAATGCGGATTCTGAAAGGTAGGCCGTGGGTTTATGCAATAGATATGTGGCCCCTGTGAATGTAGAAATAAGGCGGATTATCGTACGCTGAAGGTAACTAAAACACTTGGCGTCGTTGTTCGTTTTCGGTAGTCGTCCGAGATGAATCGTTGGTGCCGATATGACCTTTCCTACCACTTGGATATCTGAAAGGTTGATGGTTGGAGAAGTCGTGCATGATGCCGAATCGTAAGATCGTAGACGTCTATCGATCTGGTTGACAGTCGAGAACCAGAGGACTGAATCGGTCGAAAATATCTGCTGGATGAGCGTCAGTAGTTGAGGTCAATGAAAGTCGAGAGATGATTTAACTAGAATCTCGGTAGATGAGGCCGGGTTGTAAAAAGGAGAGACATTTCTGCTAATAAGAATGGAAGGATTGTCGCAGAACAGTACCACTACGGAACCTATTCAGTGGAGTTGATCTGGTTTTAAAAGAATTCAACAACGTGGAATGCAGCCTTATTATTTAATAAAAAATGAAAGTAGGTTGGAAATTGACAATTTTGAATTCCATTCGTTAGAGCTTAAAATATCATTTCCTCGAAATACCAAGGTGAAATACCCATGGTTCGTTTGTTTAAATAAAAAAGATTTCTTATCTTATTTATTGCTTAATCATAATGAGAGGATAATTTTTAAACAGCTTCATTTCTTCTATCAACTTTTAACACGTTACATTGTCTACTAAACCCCAATTTTCTATATTATTGCGGAACAATGATCATCAGCGCATTGGAGTGGTCGGGGTAAGTGCACTCCGAAAAAATGATTTTTGTGTCACAATATGTTTTAAATTCATGAACAAACAAAATTTTGTTAAATTCTGGGAGTGCAAAAAATCTTATTCGCTTAATGCAAAAAACTAGCCCAAACATTAAGAACTTTTTTTTAGAATAATTTAAATTAATGAAATCGTTGTTGTGATGTAGCAAGTATCGTGTCATAACGTGATAAAAGCCGCAGTAATGATCTTTGACTTGTCAGATCTTTCAACGAGTAGCCGAGGTCTGCATGAATTCAAATGGTGATATTTGACAATTTTGAGCTCACTCAACCCACCGAACTGACAGATTTACTATTTGTGACACAAACTCTGAAAGAGCACATTATCCCAATATAACATATCACATTTTAAAAAATTATGTTAGGCAATTGACTCATTAATCGGCACTGTAAAGGTCTTCAGTAAAAATTTTTAACCGACTCAACTTTAAAAGCAACTAATGTATGTTTTATCCGAATTTATTAATAAACTTATATAAATAAGTTATATCGTGAAATCTATTTAGCATGATTTAACCACACCCATTTACCCGGTCAAAACTTTATGCACCCATTAGAACTTACTCAGTAGAAATTAGGAAAGTAAAGTTTAGCTTAAAAAATAACTACCGAGAGTGCTGAATTTTAAAATTCATTAACCTTTCAGTGTTGTTTACTCTTACGGTGTAGTCAACCAACTTTAAGATTTTTAGAATCTGTCCAAAGTGGATACACAAATTAATCAAATAAACACATAGGAAATCAAAATTGTCATCGGCTTAATTAGAGCATCTGCTGAGTTTTCCAGCTGAATTCACTTTTGTTGCAAAATAACAAGTGGAAACAAAATTATTTGGAAAATAATGCAGTTATCATAGCAGAACGACATAAATAGATTCAAAGACAAAGTCGGCGTTAAAAGAATCTAAGTAGTGAAAAAACTTATCATAATGAATGCTACTCTAGACACAAAGTCCATACAAAGAACTGCCAACTTAGGTACAGACAACCTATGATAAACGAACTACCATACATCTTCAGCCTACAAATATTATTGACCAAATTTATTAACCAGGATGCAAACCTGATGAGGAAAACAACAGAATTTAAACACTGACAAATGTAGAAGTCAAAAACCCATCAGCCTTACCACAATTGTTTCAAAATATACGCATCATGCTGAACTCCAATAATTTATACCTAGTTTTAGAAAAGTTACATTTTTTTTAATACATCAGGTTTATTAAGGCTTTAGTTTGTTACTGTAAGACACATAAAGGATATCTATAAGTATTTTTATCAATCCAGAAAATTATATTTAACACAGGATTCTAATGAATGCACGTTTCATAACCTTTATTTGAAACCATATTGAAGGTCGGTGAGGAATCGTATGCGTGTGCATTTATTTATTAGCTACTTGGATTTTGAGCACCCATGGCCGATTGTGAAGGTATTCAACAGACTTTCGAGTTCTTGTTTTTTGAGTCCATTAAGTATTATGCGAATCAAACGAAGCATGTATGGATTTTTTTGACATTATTTTGTTAGTTTTCTGATGGTCACACGACTGCTCTACAACTGATAGAAAATATGGGCTTTGACGTTGGCCAGCGATATATTGAAAAGTATGGTTAAGTGCGATTACTTTACTTTAGGCTGACAAAAAATAGCCCTCGGTTTCTTTCCGAGCTGGAGATAGTGAAGTTCATTTGCAAGGGATTTTGGTCCAGTTTGTTTCGCAAAGACATTAGCTCACTTAAAACAAATAATACAGTAGGAAGGGATTTGTTTTATTTATTTTAGGATGTATATGTGCTTACTGATTCTGCGTTTCCTTTCCTCTGTCGAATTGAACCAAGCCAACAGTACAACCCAATAGTTGAAATGGTATGATCGTTATTTTTTTAATGCAGAGTTTAGATTCTGGCGTTTCCTTGTGGTCTCTTAAGAGGTGCTCTTTCAAGTCTGGGATTATGTTGCATAGTGAATGCAGATGTAATAAATCTGCCGTCATGTAATTCCTTCCTTTTTTTCTTACGTGGTTTACTTTAAGGTCAATTTACCGTTCGAGTGCTGCCCCGTTCTAAGTCGTCCGGTATGTAGGACGTAAGCTTCACTCTCTGATTTTGGTTTTCATCATTTTTTTAACTTTGTAAATAAAGTCTAATATTGTAATGAGTTTTCACTAAAAATCTAAATTTAGCACATTCCTAAAATGTCAAACAATTATTTTGATCTCAGTGCTAGACTCGACTTGAAGGTTTATTTTTTTGTTCTGCAATAACTTCAAGCAGTTGATACTACCATGGGGCAGAATATAGCTAAATCTTGGGATTATTTTTAGTTACCGAAGGCTCGACATACTTGTTCACTTAGAGCATAGGCTCACATGCGCTGATTAGGAACAAAGTGACGGACATAGTCGTCATTCAACCTTTAGAGTATAGTGTCCGTCACGTGGCTCAATCAAAAAGTCTTTCAAGTTTGAATGCAAGTTATAAATGCATTTTGCGCTGCGCCAAGGTTGGACCGAATTACGAGAATTTGTCTCGCCATAACTGTTGCAAACTCAAGCATGGCTGAAGCGACTCTACTTTCTCTGCTGAAATCACTAGGCAGCATAGTTTCTTTTAGTAGGCGGAGAATTCAAGCCCCAAAGAGTGGATGTTGAGCAGGATCCATAATCTGCTTGTACACTTTAGTTGTATATGGGTATGCAGGTTTTATGATCGTGACGGCAAGTGTTCTTACAGGGTTGCTATAATACAATATCGAAAGGTGACATCATACCTGTTGGCAGTGCGAAGAGATGTGGGTTCTCTAGTCAGTTGGATTGTACAGCATGAGTGCTCAGTGGCAGATTCTTTCATACACTGCAAGAAATTCAATGCCTCCCAAGTCCCAATCCGATTGATCCCAATTAGTAAAAACGAAGGCATTATCACGCTCTAACCATTGAGCCCCGCAACATTTCGATCTCAATTAAATTCCTAGATGGTTCAGCAAGCCTAAATGGCTCGGTCCGTAAGCGCTACTCGTCGTAGGTGATCATTCAAATCAACAATTTACCCGTTAGTCTTTTGTAGTTGATTGTGTGAAGATTGCATTGCAATTACCATTTGGCAGGGCATGCGAAGTGACTTGCCAGAGCTACCTCAGTACCCTATTAGTTAATGGCCCGTGATATTACAGGAAACGCGACAACTGATTATGGGCTTCACTCCAGTTACGTGTCTTTGTATGCGGATGAATGCGGACGTGCGTAACAGGCAATTAATAACAGTAACCAATGAAAACTACTGATGGGTCATTGAATTTCAATAACTATGTAGGCAAGCTTCGCGCGTGCGCCATCTCCGACAGTTCACTATACGCTACAGCCATTCCTTTACAACCCAATATCTAACGTTGAGGTTGATTATATAAACGAGAATCATCGCAACACTCAGGCCAAGAAAGAGATTTAAATCGCACTTAGCCAATGATTTAGTTTGAACGAGTACATCCATTATTCAATCTGTCTTTAAGTACTGCACGATAGGCCACGGTTGAGAAAGAAACAGGGCTTATCGATCGATAGAACGTTTGAAACCTGACATTTCAGTAACATGTATGCATGGTGTTGTTAGCGTTGAAGTGGTTTTAATCATCTACTTTTGTTACTAAAAAATGGACTGTTTTTCGAGTGAGGAAAGACGTAGAAATGATTTCTTTTTAAAAATTATCCAGCAACATGGTAGCGAGAGCAAAAATATCCACAGAATCCTTCTCATTGGTACTGGGGAATCCGGCAAGTCGACGTTCGTGAAACAAATGAAACTTTTAAGTTCACCCAACGGGACGTTTCCGGAGTCATATCGCAGCAAATTTATCACTGAAATCCAACGGAATATTGTCCAGGCACTGGCGAATATTTGCTCCTTCATGATAATCGAGGCTATACCGTTTGAGAACAGGAAGTCGATCGCTATGGCGGAACTGCAAAAACGCATTATTGAAATTTACGAGGAGATAAGAATTAAGCCGGAGTCGATCGCAAACTACACACAAGACGCTGATGCCACAAAGCGTTCTGCGTTTTTTGACATGTGCAATGCACTGTGGGAGGACAGGGCAGTCAAGGCCACGCAAGACAGAGGCAATGAATTCCAGCAGATCGACAGCGCCGCGTATTTCCTAGAAAAGCTAAACGAAATACGCAATCCCGAGTACAGTCCCAGCGACAAGGATGTGCTCCAGTGTCGAACTAAGACGCTAGGCATCCACACTGAGACCATCTTCTACCACGGAATTCCGTTTGAGCTGGTCGATGTAGGTGGACAGCGAGAGCAGCGAGCTAAGTGGATTGAGGCGGTGACCGACGGGGTGACAGCTGTCATCTTCCTCACTGACGCCTCTGCTTATGACACAATGCTGGAAGAGGACCACAGCGTCAATCGATTGCGGGAGTCCTACCAACTCCTCGGACAGGTGTGGAACAAGAGTCTGTTCAAGGACAAGTCTTTCATCCTCTTCCTGAACAAACAAGATAAACTAGCAAGCAAAGTACGCTCCCAGAGGACCCCGATTATTGACTTTTTCCCCGAGTATGAGTTGGGAAAGTTCAAGTTTACCATCACCTTCCTAAGTGACATGCTGACGCAGAAGAAGAGGAAGAAGAGTGATGCGGAGGTCTGGAAAAAGCACTTTTCGTACTTCCTTCCTGCTGCTTCAAAGGCGTCTGCGGGCAGTTCGAGTGGAGCCATGACACTTGATGAGATTATCATGGAGGAATACAACCAGGTCCAGAGTATGATTAACAAGGCCGTCCATGATGGTAGGTTGGCGGCATGGCCATTGACGGGGGATGTAAAAGATGGAGCTATAACAACGTTAATGGAAGATGAGGGCTTTGTTGCGCTATTTAATCGATTAATGGACGTGGCGCTCTATCGAACCGTCACGGTGACGCATTTCATCAAGACTCTCTTCCTGGCCGAGTGTGAACAAACCAAGGAACGCCGCGTCTACCCCTACCCCACAACTGCGATCGATAAAAGAAACGTGATCCGAGTGTTCGACTCCTGCAAGGAGATATTGCAAGGCAAGGCTTTCACTGAAATGATAATATGACTGTTGGCTTTTGTTAACTCATTCCCTTCACTTGGCGCATCAAGTTAGTGTGGAAATAAACGACTCTACTGAATGATTGGTAGTAAATTGTTAGAGTGCTTCGGCCTGCACAAAACGGATATCCCTTGCCAATTGGCGAACGAGATAATCTGCCTTAGGATTATACGTATTTTTTCACATTACATAGCAAATATTAGATCGAACCACCAATGAGAGAGTTTTAAATTATCCGCGCGTAATGTTCCACTAATCAGTCTGACTTGAGTTAATTTCTGCAAATTATATCGATTTGGGTGAAAAAAATCGATGTAAAATAACCAGCAACCTGCATCATGAATGCTCTTGATCATTCAATTCAAATATCAAGCTGGGGTCACTGTGTAACATGGACAGAGAAAGCCAGAGTTGCAAATGTGCCCACTTACTGAGAATTTTCGGGAAATCGCCTAATTATGGCAAACGTTCCAATGTTAAATTTTCATGTCAGTGACTTTGGCTTCAAGCAAACTTCTCAGATTATTGATACACTCACCTCTGCTTCGTGGCTGGTGTTATCAATTTCATTGTCAAGACTGCATCACCTCGCGAATATTTTGTCTTCATTAGCTACATGAAAGTCAAATCAACCGGAATCACATAATAGAAGTATCGTGTCTAGTAAAACTCTACCATTAATTTCCCAAACGTTCGCTGATAATTTGACCAATCAAAATTTTCGTTTGTCATTGCTGAAGAAGAAAATCGATAGAAAAATTAACGCCCTGTTATTGGTCCTTTGAGTTTCTGGTTGATGGTAACGAAGATGGTTGATGAGTCTATAATGATGAAGCTAAAAACCAATCACAGTTCGTATTTAACGGTGTGAATTTTCAACAGGGATGATCAAACCGTCAACAGTGAGGGCAATTTCAACAATAGGTTTTTGAGCTGCGTAGACAATATTTTTAAATCCGAAAATCGATTGGTATGGTAGTGATGCTGTGGTTCGTGCTGGAGGTGAAGTCGGAGATCACATAAAGAGAGCGGAGTATTCTATTTGTAACTGAGCTTTTTGCTGTATAATGGCTTAATTATAATTAATGGCTGTAATGCACCTTAATAGCGGCTTTCCTACCAAAACCTCTGTTCTGGTGCCTAGTACGTGGTCTGAAATCACGCTGGGACCGCTGCGTTGTATCCACCTGATTACTCTACACAGATAACCACGAAAATTAAGAAGACTGAAGATGACGGAGACATAAATTAGTACCTGATCGCTCAGCCAAGTGGTGTCCTTGTCGTGTGCACGACTAATGTGGCTGTTGACCAATCAAAATTGGGTGACATGGAATGCGGAAGAGGTAAATTCACAGAGGGTGTGAGTCTACCGTCTAGCATAGCTTACAGCATGAAAAGGGGAGACACTGTCAGAAAATGCGGCTGCCAGGTTAACGAGCGTTAATCAACGCAATTCACTGCATTCCAAGTAGTTGTACCAAGTCTCCCAATTACCGTTCGACTTCGGGAGAAAAACCGTGACTTGTGGAAGCGAAAGAAAATCTTTCAGCAGTGCAAAAGATTACTCAGTGTCAAAGGTCTAGCTGGAGACTTTTGCCGCAGCTTCGCTGTTAATCGGATGCGTAATTCGACCACCACAACTTTGTAAAGCTCTCTGTTACTAAAATTTTAGTTATTAAGAATACGATGTGGAAAGTGGTAAGGAATTCAAACAGGGGTTAGGGAGGCCAACGAGAAAGAGGACTTGTGCCTAGGCAAATAAAAAGAACCAAGTTATTTATTTGTAGCGGACTGTCAATCAAATTTTTGAGCTCCGGAAGGCTACAAAGTGTGGTCCAAAAATGAAGTTCAAAAATAAGAAAGTGTCAACGGTAATACCATCTCGAGTTTTTTTCTACATCATAACTGACCATCTGATTTGGTCTCTGCCAGATACCCACGAAAGTGAAGATGTCGAAAAGAGTGATAGGCGGACCGTATCTGTTAGGGGGGGGGAAAGTAGTGTTCCATTTGGAAATGATGTCGCAACCTGGTCACATATATCTCATAAGCTAATCCAATGAGTCTAAATCAGCGAATCGATTGAGTATATGGTTCAGGGAATTAAGGTTGTTCAGTGTAGAACAATTACTCGTTTCGATATTTCGGTTTTCTGTAAGTCTCTAAGTGTTGCGTTTTGCTCGCAAGCAAAACCAAAGATTCTCAGAAAACCAGTACCCCCGATCCCTTGTCTGACGCTAGTTACCACCTTCCCACACTGATGCAAGACAAAGCATGACCATCAGCAGAGGTCTTTCGACGTCTCGGCCAAAGGTCCAGCTATCTGTCTCAACATGTTTGCTTATATAAGTAAAGGATGACCCGTCATCTGATGAATCAAGGCGGATTAACACAGATGGGGCTATCAGTAGGATGTCGTGGGTCACACCCCTCCTGAAGTGGCGTAGTTAGGTGGAGGCGATCACAATGACGAAATCCTAACCCTCGATATGCCGTATTGGGGTACGTTGGATCTCCACCAAGGCTAAAGTTGCCTATCAAGGTATTAAATTGGCTGTAGCAGGCGTCACAAACTTGCATTTAAACCCGAGATGTGTGAGTCATTGATGTGCTAACACCGTGACCTAGGTGTAAGGATAATCGTTCACGATAATGAGAGGGGATTTGAGGATCCTCGCGGCTGGCAACATGCTGCGAAAAGGGGGACCCTGTGTCGGAGGCTGTAGTGACCGGACTAACGAGTATGCATCAACGCGATTCGCAACATCGCATTCAATCACTTGGTCCTAAATCTCTTCGTACTATTTCAACCTATACCGAAACAGGTTCTGTGAAACCCCTTTTTTCTAAATTTGCAACAGGAGGCAGGAAACCCATTAGGTCGAAAATCGACGAAATGTAAGCAAGGAGACTCGTTCTAATGAAGGACGATGTTATTGATCGCACACAAAAACAATTCGCATCTGCATTAATTTCACAATCTACGTTTAACACCGTTTTGCATCGATTGATTTTAGCGGCCTGAGAATATGACAGCGATCAGTTCTCTTATTCAAACACTGATTCTGTTTCCTAGGAGTCAACATTTTTCCACATTTATTAACTGAAACCTTCCTCCTTTATCAGCATCTCTTTTAAGCGCAGTAGCAGTCCGAACAGCGTCAGCGTCATTTTAAACCCCAAGTAAGCAATCAGTCACGTGAGTCATCGACTTCCTTTATCGACCACACCGTTCTTGCACTCATTCAGGTGCCAGAAATTTCCCCGTGGTGCTCAAACGAAGCGTGACATGAAGAAGAGGCGGCTTCAAACAGATGGAATTCAAATCTCCGACCTGAACAAGCATTTGATGGAACATTGATTAATTGTCCGTCCTAAGGACCACTTGGTCCTTCACAGATCTTAATGACATCCATAAAATTGAAATCACTACATCAGGTCACAAAAAGGTCATTCACTCAGGGGGGGGGGTCCATACAATTTTACCGTGCGGTCGAAAATAATTTGTTCATCGCATGACTTTGCCTGGTGACGGACAGGGTAATGAGCAAGATACCAACGGCCTATAGAGCTTCTACTTGAAGCCCTGTACTTATCTTATTCAAGCACATTTGAAAGTTTACCTGAACTTTGCACACACTTCACTGAGGACTTTGTGATGCTTCATGGAACAGAATTTTCGGGTAGGGATTCTTCAAGGAATCGTGATCATCTACCAATAAATCTCTGCCTCTTACTACTCCTTTATCAAGAAAATTTGCCGGTAGATCCAACCCAGAATTTCTATGCAGTACCAAGTCGTTAACAATTATAAGATCTACTTCTAAGTTTCCCAAATGTTAAAATTCAACATTGTTTAAGTGGGGCCACTGTGATGGCTGCCTGTCGTTGGGTTGTGTAATGCTGGCCTTTGGTAGTGAGTAGACGGAGTAGTTCATCTAACACATCAACAGATTTCTTTGTACTGCTCCACCAAAGTCGAAATCTACTTCTGTGTATTCAGCACAGTTTTCTTCTTCTCTTCATCGCCGAACCTTTTCGAATAAGCGTGGATTCCAGGCCATTTTTTAGCTAATCCGGAGCCCATTCAAATTGATTACATTACCCGACAGTTACTTGACTCACTACAATGGTCATACCGGAAAATAAATTCTCCACTGCCTCCCATAGTCACATGAATTTTAACCATTTTCAGTCCAGTAGAAGTATTTCAGTTTAACGGATGCAATAATCTAAAAGGCAGCCCTTGATAACTATCGACTGCATTAAAACTACGTCAAATCGTAGTTCTGAGTGATATGGTTACACTTCGAGAAACGGAGACCGATTTTAATACAGAATTAGAGGTAAATACTGAACATCAGCTAGTAAGATTACTAAACCTATTTTTGAGACTAAAGGATGATAACAAACGATTACTTAGATTTGAATAACTAGCATGTAAGACATTCACGTTTCTCCGCCATCTGTTCAATAACTGTGATTTTGAGGTTGAATAGCGATTAGCATGGTCATTCATTGAATCAGCAGCTAATTCACCAAATCTGAGCACCCAATATGTAAAGGATATAACTTAATAGGCAAAGTTCACAGAGTGTCGCATATAGGTCCGGATCCAAATCGCCTTCCATTCCAGCTGGACGTTACTTACCTGATGATCGTTTATAGGTCCATTAACAAAGGCCCGCAACAGTGTGCACCAAGCACCAAACAGTGTCCCATGGTCTTTAAACCTTGTCTTCAGCAAACTGCTACAATTTTGAAAAAAAATATTAATTGAGTTGTCATTTGTTTTACATTCTGCTGCAAAAAGGAGAAGATGCAGAAGGTGGATATAACTTTCGATCAGAGTCCGATATATTAGTCTTTGTCGTTAGAAAATCCGTCATCCTTAAAACAAAGGACTGCCAGCAGAAATAGCAGTTAAAGTGAACTAAAACCACATTAAAAAAATTAGTAAAATCAGTAGTTATTTCAAATAAAACGAAAATCATAATGAATGCGGGACATTTTTTTCATTTAGCCTTCTGTATAGCAAGATATCTGGGTTCGTGAAATACAAGGTTTTACTTGGTTTTGCAAATTAGAAGCACTTTTATGGAGACCTGTAGCTTGCGGCTAGAGTAGATGAACCACAATCATTTAATTTTGTGTGAGAATTCAGATAAAAACAAAATTTTGTCATTTCTGGTTTCGACAGATTACAGTTAATATCTTAATATAATTTTTTACATTTAATGTACTTTTTTGGTTTGCACCGCAATTTAGAGGTGACTTGTACCTAACAAATCTCAATTTCTGAGAGCTGACAAAAAATATCATTGGCTTACATTGGGAAAAAAACTTTAAGCCTGTGGTTTTATTCCAATTAATCTGCTTTCTACTCAACTCAACAAATGATCTTGTCGTAGATACTGCTTCAAACACTCGGCCTCTTTGTCCTACATTTAAACTCATTACCATTTAATGCGGCTCATTCTAATTCGCTTGCGTCGTGTGTTTGGGCGTGCAGGCTGCCCTAGTCCAACATTTATTATGACTTGATTTACTCTCTTACACTAAGAATGTTTGCAATTTTAGTATTATTGCACCAGCTAATGTTCTGTGATGTCTGTGTACATAGTTTCTCCATTCCTGCTGACGTCGTTGATAACCCCGAGGTTTCGCGAAGTAAGATCTTATATTGACAACTATTTTTTTAGCGCATTTATATCCCATTTCTCAGTTCGCTCGCACGGGATCAAATGTCTCTTTTGAATGTCCCCCAAGTGTGCCATCAACAGCACCTGGTTCTACTTCATGGGTGGGTCCTTCGTTCCAGCGGACATCGAATCTAACTGATAAGACTGGAACCAATAATGTTGTTATGTCCCCTGATCGAATTGAAATATATTCTATTTCGAGAAATGATGAAGGTAACTACTCGTGCTTCCGGAGTGGAAACTTAACTGCCATTTGGACACTCCACGTTCTTGGTAAGGTAAATCTAATTATCTGACAATGTAGACATTCCCTCACCCCCAAACAACTTGGAGCTTTCTCATCGGAACCAGTCGTCAATAATTTTACAATGGAAAAATGGTAGACAAGTGCCAAGGTATTTAATTTACGAAATTGAAGTTTCAGGGTAATATTAGTATTTTCTTAATGCACCTATTGTAGATCTCGAAATAAAAAGGTAAATGTATCCGCCTCAGAACAGTCGGCAATTATTAGCGGCCTCGACCCTTACTCTATGTATTTCATTCGCCTCACTCCTCGCGACCCAGTTGGCGTGGGGCCAAAGCCCCTGACTACTAGCGTTTGTACAGGCCCTGGAATTCCCACAGTAATACCAAATGTTACACTGACTTCGATCACAAATACCTCTGCTACCTTTAATCTATCTCTTGATGGCATCACCCCTAGCAACAGCACTTCTGACTGCCCGGGATCGTATAAACCCTACGAGTACCTCGCCGGACCATTCCATGGATTCCTACTGACAGTTGAGACAACCTCTCCAAGAAGTACCGTTAAACTTCTTCGGATTAACAATCGAACCAAGGTATTCAATTCTAGTTCCATTCTTTTATGCTGTATATGGTGCAGATTGGTTCCTTCATATTGTATATCTAATTGTAGTCGTACACGGTTCCACATCTAACACCATTTACACAGTACCGTGTTAATGTGTCAGTTTCTAACGGCCGAACGTTTGGCTTACCTGCTGTGCTCAATTTCACGACCAAGGAGGGTTTCCCAGATCCACCCAGGATACATGTAGAAAGTCGTTCCACAAATTCCCTCCGATTGAGCTTCGTTTCCTCCAACAGTCGAGGTGTTGTCTTGGGTTACCGCATTAAGGTCAGTCCATATCTCATTCTTGCTCACGACTTCCCCCAAACTATGTGTATTTGATGCGTTCTTTCCTTATAGTGGGCAGAGTGCAGCAATTCGTCAACCACGAAGTCCGACGAATCAAAGGAAGCTTATTTTATCATAACCGGCCTTCGAAATTCCACGTGTTATCAAATGCAGGCCTCTTCACAAACCAGTGTAGGCTATGGTAATTACAGTTCTCTCACTCAAGACTTCACCCTATGTCCTGGTACGTTTCACTCCTACACGTACCTTGCATCATTCGTTAGCGCTTGGTATTGAGCATACCAAGGGTTGTATTGTTTAGACTTTCCGGCACCCAATATTTCAAATATATCGGCCACCACCGATGGGATCAGGCTTTCATGGACGTACGACAGTCCGCCCGCTTCTCCAAATGGCAATCACCTGTTCCTTGCGTGCATGGAGTCGTCTGTTTCAAGTGTCTGTGAAGATGTCGCTTTCAATTACACCTTCCGACCTAGTGGAAATGGTGGTTATTTTTCGGTTAGTTCGCAGCCTCTGGTGTGCCTTCTTTGACTTTTATTCGGAGTTTACTTATGTGTTCCTTTCCTGCCTGTGCACAGTACACGTTTCCATTTCACGGCGTGAACCTTGTCGGCGGAACCGGCATCATCTTGAACTTCACCGTCCGGTCGGTTTGTCTGCCCCGAGACTGCAAGAGGGACTGGCCTTGTCAGTCCCTCAGCAATTACTCAAACGTCCTCCAACTGGACATTGATCGTAAGTCGTTGCTCCGTGATCAAGCACTTTGTTACTTGTTGCCTGAAAACCTCCACAAGCGTTTGCTTCGGGAGTGCTGTATTTGGATTTTGAGTGTGCGTAGTTCCTGTATAAACCGCTCCCCCATTATAATACGCGCGTTGTCCCGTCATTCTGTGCTTTTCTTCACTTTTTCCTTGTTTTTTAGAGCTCTCGGAGATATTGGCGAGAAGTGGTTTTAGTGAGCTGAGCGACAAGGCCATCGGAGGGATTATTAGCGCCGTCTTTGCCATCATTCTCATGATCTGTGTCTGCTCCTTGTCCATTCTCTACTGGTAAGAGAATCCTCGCTTCTTTCTCGCCATTTTCTAACTCAAGAGTTGTTAATTCGTCCAAACACGCCTGTTTGCTAGATGGCAAAGTGTAAAATTCACTGTTGATTTTTACCAAAGTTGTTAAGCAATGTAGTGGTGAAAAGCGTCAGTTCTTAACTCAACCCCAGTCTAGTCACTTAGTGCCCTTTTACGAAAAGTGCTCTGGCATCAAACAAAAAGGTTTGCTCTGTGCAATTCAAATAATTCAGCACTTAACAACTATTTTACCATCACATGGTTTCATTTTTCTGCAATTGCCAGTCGATCGTCGCGTGCGTACAAGAGACGCCACGGGGGCCTGGGCGTTGCCGGTGACGACCTCAGTGGTTGTGGAGGGGGCGAAACCGGTCGAACCCCCCTCGTCACCCCCAAAATGCGGCGCTTCGAGGAGAGCCCCCACAAGCCCATTCCAGCCGAACTACTCGTCCAACACGTGGCCAGTTACCACGCCGATGACGATGCCGGCTACCAGGCCGAATTCGAGGTAATATTTTGTCTGATGTTTACTCCTCTCCCTCGCTTTCTGTCTACCAAATCTAGTTAAAACCTTGGCCATGCAGACGCACCACCGACCGTCTGTGGATTAAACCGCATTTTCTAAAGTGACACCTAACTTGTGCTTTGTATAACTAGCAGAACCCCTCTCCCAACTGTCGTGTTAATCCGGTTTATGCAGCTTTTACCACCTTGCCAGCTGACACACTGCTGTCCTTCTTTCTCAAGGCGATTGAACAGTGCGTTCGCACCAATTGGCCAACGTCTGTCGCCCGGTTACCAGAAAACATGCCAAAGAACCGCTACTCAAACGTTTTTGCATGTGAGTCCAGCTTTTTCTTCATTCTCAATACGTCTCAAATACACCTGCCCCCCTCTCTCTCCCTCTCAAGTTTTATTACGAATGAATCGATCGGAACAGTAGCATTTTCGAACAAATAGGGATGTACACGCTTGACAACTGAGTCCCAGTTGAGGCACCTTATCGGTTGAATTGGTAGAAAGTAAACTGATGCTGTCTCGGAGTTAATGCACCCATCCGTTTAATGAGTTCGACTGTCCTTCGAAGCTCCTGTATGCAGTTAATTGACACAATAATTGTGATGGATTTGTGTTTTTTTTTTTTGGTTTCCTATTAACCCCGACGGGTGTCACTCACACCCGCCCCGTTTAATGTCAATTCTCGTTAAACTACCATCAGGTCGGACTCCACTGGTGTTAATTTGCGCACACAAGTGTCGTTTGTGTGTGCGCTGGTGGTTTTGTTTTCATGCAAATCGAAACTGTTTTGATGTACGGCGACACAACTCGACGCCTCTGTGGTCCCCTCACTAAGACGTATATTGACCGCCCCACTCCTCCGACAAATTCACCAAAATTACCGGATTCGATTGACTTTGACAATAAATATTGAAATCGCATTGAATTGTCGGGGATACGATTTACCTAGGATCTCCTCTTTTTGTCTCTTAATCGATAATTAGCCTGTCAGTTTTCATTTCTCCAAGCACCACAAGCAGTGCTGCCCACTGCCCGTCAGGGGTAGTAGTTAGCTTATTCCTGGACACGAGAGAGAAGGAATTAGAAGTCGGGTGTGTGGATAACCTTTTTGTAATCTCACAGGCACTCATTTGCCTTAATGCCCGTGAATCATGCGTGCCTGCAAATTGCATTTCACCTCTGCGAGACATCACCTAGTTGTCCGGCTAATTACGTTCAGGTGGAGAGCGCGGTGGCCATTTGTCATTGCTCTGGGCGGTGTTGATTTGTCTGTCCGTGTTAGCCCACTTGGTCACGAAAACCGACATGCATCGTCGGTCTCACGACCTCGACCTGTGTTCCCAGGAATTGGCGATTCCTGGGGGTGCACATTCGCTTTCACTTCTCGAAGTCATCGGAATTACCACAGGAGACGTACTCCCGTATCCCTCGTTGTCCATTGTCTGCTTCACGCCTCACCACCACCACCACTGATGTGGTTGCCTTTGGCGAGACTAGTAGTATCCGCAGTAATCTGGTGGTACCGGTCGATACACCGCTAACACGTTCACCCAGAATGGGGCCTTGTTTACCTAGGCAAGTCTATTTTCGGCCTGTCTAGCGCGCGCGTGCCCCTGTTTTCGGTGTCTGGAGGCATTACCCAATTCACTCCACCTTTGTTTACATCTCTTCAGACGACCACACGCGAGTAATTTTGAGGAATCCCCACGGCCGCCGATCGGACTACATCAACGCAAACTACGTTGACGTAAGCTGGTTATTCTCCTTGAATTGTCCCCTGCAGTATGCATTCTCTCCGCGTTAACTCTAGTATTTTCGCGCATTGGGTAACTTGGGTGGTGTCGATGCTTAAACGACTCCCATCCGACCCGACCTCTGGGGAATCATGCCTGGGTGAACGTCTTTTTTGTTGAAACCACCTCGGATTCGCCTTGCTGTGTACTTGACATGCTAGTTTTGCGTCAGTCTTCATGTGACCTTCGTTTCTAGCTGACACTTAAAATGTACTGCATGCGAATGTCACTGATTTCAGTTACTCCCGCTGGTCTGCCTAAACTCACTCTATAGCGCGTTCACACGAAATGCGGCGTGATTTCCCGCTGAAACTGTCCTTTCTGGTTCCAGGGCTTCTGCGGACCCAGGGCCTTTATCGCAGCTCAGGGCCCAAAAGACATCACCTTCGACGACTTCTGGCAGATGGTGTGGGACGAGAACTCCAACATCATCGTCATGATCTCCAACTTCGTGGAGCGCGGCCGTGTAAGTGCGCGGGAGTGTGTGTAACCCAGCCCCACTTTATTCATCCGCCGTCTCGGCCACCTCTAGAGTCGCCAACTGTGCCTGAATTTGGCACACCCAAGTTTGTGCCTTTTTCCTGCTGTCTTCTGGAAAGTGCAAGCGCGTGTGCGTGCGTGTGCGTGTGCGCGCAAAAGCCTACAGACGTCGCCAGTGCAGAAATTGTGTCCAATGGCTCATGCACTCGCTCTAATTGCCGCGGCCTTTGGTTTGGAGTTAATGGCCTCTTTGAAGTTAAAAGCGCTTGGTTCTTAGCTAAAATCCCCATTTTAAGGTCGAGTCGACTTGTCAAAATGCCCCCACGTGTGGTCTTGAACCACGCCGAGGCTGCGGTGTTGAATTAGCCCGTGTACGTCTCTCAGATACCAGGGAAGACAAGAGACGGTGGGGAAGATCGTTTACCCATAGGTAGCTCAACAAATTTGCGTCTATCGCACCACTGCGAATAAGAGCGTCATGTCTAGATAGAGGGGTTGTTGATCAATACAGTCTGAGTGGACCTGTAAAATCGGCGTATGAAATGGGTGGTGTGGTGGGGGGAGGAAGGTACACCCACGGGGGCGTATGAGCCGACGGTTCCTCATGGGCGACCGTGACGCCGTGAATAGGCGGTCAGTGTGGCGGAGAATGCGGCGACCTGGTTATCGGATGTGAATCAACGCGAGTTTTATTGCCAACCGGCGCCAACTGCTTCTCACGAATACGTTCCGATTTCCAATGGTCATTGTCCAGATCTGAAGTCTTTTGAAGCGAGGCGGTTGGTCGTTGCCGATGTAGGCTGGCTTCTGTCTGCGCCACGAACCCACATCGATGCTTGAGGATCGTCTAGAATCTGTCAGTACCCGATTTTTCTCGTTGGCGCCATAGGTCTGGAGAAATCTTATTGCCAAGTCTTGCAGCACAGATTGCGCCGAATGTCCGTAGGCGGTTGTCATTCTCCGTTCCCTTGACTGCCGTGGCTTTCCGTTTCCTGTGTAAACAAATAAGGCTCCCGCGTTAACCTAAAAATACACCCTTGTCGGGCGGCAGCTGCAGCGTCGATGATCTCCATTGGCAATTCACCTCCTATCCATTGCCGAGCACCGCAATTACCCGTCTCACACCTCGAACTAGTGTCGGGATTTCACCTCCGTTTAGTCCGCCTCTAGCCAACGCGCGCGTCACCGTGTGAGCACACAAATTGAATCGTAACGCAATAAAACCCCTATCTACCCTCCCCCCAATCACCCGGCATCCATGCGGTCGCTCTGCCAATTTCTCAGGAGAAATGAGTAAACGAAGCAGCGCCATTCCCCTAGCAAATAACCCAATTTTCTGCTCATATTGCGTGTCCCCTTCCTGTGGTGGACTAACAGATTTGACTCACGCCAGCCCAGGGTACTTGGCTTACTGGAAAACGTTTCTTGTGTGCGTGTAATCGAGCGTCTCCAATTCTTTGGTATTGGGCTATGTCAATGCCTTACGTGTCACGCAAACCCCTAATTAGGGGGTTTTCCCCGTTTGCGTTCGTTGTTTTGGTGTACTTTTCATCGGTGAATGACCTTGATACAGCCAATCGGTGTGGCGGGAAGATGAGGGAGAGTGGAGCTCCCAGTTCACCCTAATAAAACTGTCTTGCTTTTCCACTTCCCCCACAGCGCAAGTGCGATCAATACTGGCCATCAGACGGGCAGCAGACCTACGGCTCAATCAGCGTTCGAATGCTCTCCGAAAACAAACTGGCCTGCTACGTGGCTCGTGTCTTCCTTGTTAAGAATGTGAAGTGTAAAAAGGCAAGTCACCTTCGTCGTTTTTTTGTGTACTTTCCACCGTGACGGGAGTCGAACTTGACCGGTGGTTCGCTGCCAAAACCCAACCGCCAGAGCTTAACAACCCCATTGCGTTGCTTCTAACCCGGGAAATAGCGTCACTGACGCTCCGTTTTTTCCTTATTCAGTTTGCTAAGGAAAGAATCGTGCGGCATTACCAGTACACGGACTGGCGCGACTTCGATGTGCCGCTGTCTGCCCTCCCGGTGCTTGTCTTCGTCAAAACAACCGTCAAGGACTGGACCCCCACGCGTGGACCAATCATCGTGCACTGCAGGTGACGCGTTATATCCTCACACGGTCCCACCTGTGCCCCGAGTTCGAGTACTTTAGACAGATGATAGAGGGCTAAATCTTAACCTCCAGTCCACAATGCAGCCATGCCACACGTTGCCCTGATTTAATTAAGAGTGCTCAATTGTCGAAGAGTCAGGAATTTTACACAAAAAAAATTCTCTTTGCGGCATTAATTAGCAAAAATTCGCGTTCTGTCACGCTCTTTCGGCGGTTCTGCTGTTGTTTTAACGTTGTCGACGTTACCTGTGTTCTGTTGTGAGCCACACGTGCGTATTTTCGGATTAGAAGTTGCTAGGCTGCTTATAACCGAATCTCTAATCTATCACCTGACCATGCGAAAGAGTATGTTCGTTTTTCATGCTGTGATATCTGGCCTTTAACCCCGGAGTGGCACTTTGGTGAGGCCTGACAAAATCAGTTTGCAATAATGTTGATGGTAGAATCGAGTCACATTGTGTTCCGTTTAAGTTTTACACAAGCTCTGAAATCTGATGAAATGCACCAATCAAACGCAGACAAGTTTACGAATTGAAATTTAGTGCTTCTGTATCACCGAAGGGGGTCAAGTCGATGTGGCCGTTTGCCCCTTTTGACCTGACCTTGAGGCGAGCCAATCACGCGGGTTTTAACGATGGGCTGGCAGCGAGACTTGTGCGCGATCCGTTGATTTATTGACGGTCAATCTTTGCCTCACATCTGCCTCTGTGACAGATTTCGATAAACCCCACACATTTGAAGGTTATGTGCGTTTTCCTGATCAAAGGAGCACTAAAAACCTCCACATTCTTAGCCAGTGTCGAGCTTTTCGCGGTGTTGATTGTCTGATTGCGTGGACACCCAATCAGCGCTTTGTGCCAGCGTCCTTTGTGTGAACACTGTCGCGCACGTGAGGTTCCTGTGGTTTTCGGTTAAACTGTCGTGTTAAATCTGCGTTTGCGTGTCACGATTACTTGACTTGCGGCGCAGTGTAATCCACAGACCAATTAAACACTACTCCCCGTCAATCTGCGTGAGAATCCAGTCTGTTCCACCAATTCCACCAATAAAAACTCGTCGGGTGTATTAAGCATTCTCACACCAATTAATTGTCATTGGTAATTTAACTGTAGCCCTTTCTGCCGTTCAAGTTTTTACGTTGCCACCGTGAAATCGTCTTCCCTTATGTTCGGTGGTACCGCGGTTGCCGCAAAAAAATCAATATGATCCAAGTTAAGCCGTCTTCCAGGGCTCAACTCTAGGTCAAGTCAGTTTCAGCTGGAAGGTCGGTTGTCTTAGTAAGCCAAATGCTAATTGATGGTCGGGGGTTTGTATCTAGCTCCACTTTAGTGTAACTATTTGTGTATCCAGGGCTTTTGGGCCATTTTACACACCCGCGACTCGTCGCCACAAAGGTACCCCAGTAAATTAGTTTTGTGTGATAATCCAATTTAAGGGTCCTTTTTCTAGTTTTCGAAAACCCCGCTTTCTAAACTTGCTGGCACGCACGTGGTACATCACAGCCCAACCGTTGACCCGCCTTCTCCAGAAGTTTCCCTTTTTTCCACTTTTTTGGAATCGCAAAAATTTTCCGATTGCTCTACTCTTACGTGGTCTTTTTTTCGCAAGAAAATTTTGTCTTCGTGTCCTTCTGCGTATTCTTTTCGGCAGTTTATTTGACGCATTCGTGTTAACCCTCGATGGCGAGATGAAGCCACCATTCGTGAATTCCAGCTCAGCGCGGATCGTTTAAACTGTGGAATTGGATGCTAGCCTGGTTCTCCTAATTGGTGCCTTTTTTTCAAGCACGCATTTGCATGCAATGGGGAATATTCCCCCTGCTAGTCCCATGTGAAATCGTGCTGTTATTGTTGTCGTTATTGCCATAATTATGCATAAAGACAAACACCTCGAGCCATACATCTTGTTACCACACGTCCCTTTGATCGTGAATTCATTTCCGCGATTTTTCCCCGCATACTTCAACTGGCTGGCGGCCAAAGGCTGTCTAGTGTTTTTTTTATCTAGGCAGACGTGGCATGTTTGCTTTCAAACTGGGCTACGAATTGAGCTAAATCAGCCAAAACTTGTTTTTAAGTTTGTTAAGGGTCCCAGCATGTGGTCTTGAACCACACGGAGGCTGCACTGCAAAATCGGCCTCTTTACGCCACTCAAGTACTCACACACTTCCCTCGAAATGTCAGCGGAGGTCATCGAAGCAGTTGTGACTTGATTGTCGTACAACGCGCCCTCCCATCTGTCACAAATTTGCCCCAAACCACGTTGTTTTTCCCCTCTGCGGTGTTTTCCTCGATGTGTTCCAAGAAATATTTCTTCTAGTCGAGTTTTACTTCAATCGTCCAACAGCCAATGCGGGGCGCTGCGTGCGTGCGTGCGGGGAAATGTCAAATTCAAACAACCACACCTGTTGGTGTGGTGATTCACCTACCAGACCTCTTTCTTTGTGTTGCCTGGCTCCCAATGAATGTGCCAGAACCACTGCTGGATTTGCCGTCTTGATTGACGCGTGTCCATGAGCAGGCCGATTACGCAATCGATTCTCTCATTTCCGCGCGCACACTCTACAAGTGTTTTTTTTGTTAACTTCTTCCTTGTAGCGCTGGTGTCGGTCGGACGGGCACGTACATCTGCATCGAGAGTCTAATTCGCCAGTTGGACGCCGAGAAACAGGTCAACATCCGCGGCTTCCTCGAACACATTCGCCAGCAGCGCATGAAGTTGGTGCAAACCGAGGTACGCCCTCCTCATCCCACGTTGGTCTCTCGTCTGATTGTCAAATTGATAAGCCTAATTGCGACAGTGAATCACCGAGAAGTTATTTGTCTCGCACATCTTTTTAAATTTTAACGCCACTTTTGCTGACCCGGCTTCTGATTGGCTCACCATGGGTCTCGTAGTTGATTGGCCGAAATTTGACCTTGAGACGCATTTCGCGGTAAATAGCCACTCCTTATGTCGCGGATTTCTCTCATGACGTTAGTGCAAACCGATGTACGCTCTTCTCATCCCACTTTGGTCTCTCATCTGATTGTCAAGTTGATAAGCCTTGATCCATGACGTGGTTTCTCGCTTTGCGACAGTGTCGAGTTAGCCATTTTTGTGAATCACCGAGAAGTTATCTGTCTCACACATCTTTCTAAATTTTAACGCTGCTTTTGCTGACTCTACTCCTGATTGGCTCACTATGGGTCTCGTAGTTGATTGGCCTAAATTTGACCTTGAGGCGCTCTTGATGTCGCTTTTACTCATGCCTTTTGCAGCAACAATACGCATTTATCCACGACGCCCTTCGTGAGTACCTTCTGTGCCCGGAACACGAGATCTCCGCCTTGTCCTTCCCCGCCTACGCGCAGTGCCTTCGCGTGCCCGACAGCTCCGGAGTGACTGGTCTGCAGAAGCAATTTGAGGTACACTTCTGTTCCGCCACACCCTGAGCGCAACTAATCCGAACCCCCTTTGTTGGCATGTGACGTGGTTTCTCCCACTAGCACTCAAAAAACACGTGAGTCGTGTCTCAGCCCGCTACTAGACGACCTTGGGTGCGGGCAGGCGAAGTAGTGCAGTCAAAGGCGAACGGACCAATAGGAAGGGGGCGGCAGATTTGAATACCAAAAATGGTGTCCATAAACACGAGTGGTAATGCAAAGTAGGAAAGCTCGAAAAATGTATTCTCGCCGATGCTGGTGTCCCAACAGCCTCACCCTCTGTGTCGTGTGGTTTTGCGTGTGTCTCAACAAGATCTCATGCGTTTAACGGTTTCCGTAGAATGTCCAATTCCTCATCTCCCACTTTTGTAAGTCTGCCTCGTAATGACCATTCTTGTTCCCGTTTTGTAAACCTCACATTCACGATGCCTGGACCAACACAGCACATTTCTTTCATGGTTTTGTGTACCTTATTTAAATACGCGCTTGCTGACTAATTTGAGTGAAATTTGATCTCAAGCTGGCTGTAGTAACTGTTGGGGATACGAAAGAACATTTTTCATCATATTTATTGGTTTATCTGTTATTCATTTTGACATTGACCCTCTAGGCAGGGTTTAGTTATCGTTTCCCCATTTCATTCGTTTAGGGAGGTCAAAATGCACGCGTACTTGGCTCCCAGTTTTCAACACTTGTTCTTTCTTGACTGTTATGGGTGCTTCCCAGGATCGCGCCTCATTTTTCACCGTTTACTCGAATATACTACTAACAGAGGATAGGGAGTAGCATGTTCACGAGCCTGAGAAGTCGTTTTCGACTGATCGCAGTTGTTCGGTACAATAGGACACGGAGAATCAGCGGCCAAAACGTCTAATTACGGGACTGGTTTGGTGGTTCTTTTGACGTTGCCGGTAAAACCAAACTCCAATCAGTCTATACTACTGAAAATATTTCATATCCATGCCCTTGTCCTATTTACTGCCTACCAAGTGGAGTGAGTCACACACACACACCCGCCGCTTCTACGCCGACCGTTCACTTTGTGCTAAGGCGTTGATTGTCTTTCAAGCGTTGGTGTTGTGCAGCGCGCTCTCGTTTCCCTCCTCTCCTTTTTTTCAATCAAAACAAGCTTTTGTCGGCGCGCAAGCGGATTTCATCACCACAAGCCCACAACCTTGACCGCCAATGAACAGCCTCGCATGGTGTGCCCACCATCTATCGATCGTGCTAATCGATGCCAGACCCTCTTGACGTCGGTCATGGCATCTGGACCGATGGAAGTGTCCGTGGAATTAGTCGTCCCTCGCTGTTTCCAAACTGAATGGTTCTAATTCAAATGAACACCCCAAAAGTGTTATCCCATGGAATCTTGGGAAGCGTCGCGCGGAATGTCATCTGTTTCTTGGCTACCAAAAAACCCTTGCGAGTCCGGTTGCTCATTGAGCGTTTTTTGCGATTCCATGGAAGCGTTGTCTCGAAGCAATGTTGTAGGCTTCTAGTCGTTTGCGAAACGGTCATTGTGCAGGAATTCCAGTCGAATCTTGCGTTGTTGACGTTGGTAGTGGATGACGGTCTGCAAGACGTTTCATTCTCTTCGAAACTGCAGACTTGAAAAGACCCTGGCATTTCACCTTGAAACGGCGCTGGAAGATGCTTGCTGGAAGTCCGATTTGAATACGCATCACAAGCACACGTCGAATTTTTACCAGGACACAGTTTCCACGGATTCTGTGTTACTGGAGGTAGCGGTGCCTCGTTACAGCAAAGCGAATCGATGTGAGCACGTGTCTAGCTACGATTCCTAGCCTTTTGGCCAAAATACCCTGCTTTGATAATTTGCCCTGACCTTTTAACTGTGATTGGTCGTTTCGGTGAATTCTGCCTGACCTTGACCTGGCCTTTAGCTGCAATGAGACGTTTTGGGAGTTTGACCTGACCTTGAAGTAACCTACCAGGGGAAGGCTCAACTTTGATTATCTTACCTTACCTGTGATTTGTCGTTATGGGTTAGTTTATGTGCCCGTTGGTTGCATTTTGCCGTTTTGGGGGTCTTTCCTGGCCTCTTAACTGTGGTTGGTTGTTTCTGGGAATTCTAATTGGCCTCGGACCAATGATTGGTGGTTTTTTGGCTTTTAACTCGACCTTGAGGTGTGAGGCCTTGGAGGCTGACTCCATTTGCATTATTGTAGCGCACTTGAATGAAGAGCAATTCGACCTGACATTCTAGCTGTGATTTGTCTGTTGTGGGCCCCACGGGGCCACGGAATTAACCCTGGCCCGATTACGTTTCCCTGGTACCCGCGATGAAGAAAAAGATCGGAGAGGACGTGGACACAAGCGTTTACTTCAGTGCTCGACCACGTCGGTGTCGTTGTGTCGTGTGTGGGGTTTGCGCGTGTGTATTTACACCTCGGATGCTTGCAAACATCGAGACCTAAGTGTGACGATACTCCAAGGTAAATATTCGTGTGAATTGGGGGGGGGACCCTGTTTCGGTGGCTGGCGACATTGTCGCGACGGATCAGGGCGCAGACATATTGGACCACCTGGCCTCAGCCAAAGCTGTCTCTGCGTTCCAATGGCACGCGAGGAAGAGTGGCAGCCAACCAGAGAAGGACACGAATGAGGTGCGGTAAATAAAGAGCGGCGTGGCCAGCGTTGTGGACTCGGACGGAAGGCGCTTGACTTGTGGTTCTGGCTTGTGATTGGTCAGTAAAGTCTGTTCTGTTGTACCAGGCTTCTCCATACTAGGGCTCGGGTATTTTACAACACGCTGCGAAAAGGGGAATCCTGTGTCGGAGGCGGAGCGACCGGAATAAGGGTTGTGAATAAACACGATTCACAACATGTCGTTTTGGACCAATTCGATCTGACCTTCAGGTGATCCCTTGAGGCTGATTCTACCTTCACGGAGGACACAGTGGTGACCGTAGCGCACTTTTTAAGTCCAGCAATATCGATCGTGATTGAAAACCTTTTGTGTCCATCGATTTTTTTGACCCTGTGTTTTGTTTCAACTTTCTGCCTTTCTGCCCATGTTTATTCCCTAGCATTCGTAGTCGTCATATTTACCTGCATTGAGGGCACGCCTGTGTAATTGTGATACTTTACGCCTCGCCAGAATTCTCTCACCGTTGTCAGCGCATTTGATGGGCCTTCATTACACCAACGCGCCACTTTCGTTTTCGAATTACGCGCTTTCCTTTTTTGTTTAATTAAAATGACTTTACCAAGTAGCAACCTTGGCACACGTGACTGTTGCGTCTCTTCAAGGCGTTGAAACACCGTTACTACGGTTCGTGCTGTTGCAACGTTAGCATGTCAGTCCTCATGATAATCCGTCGCCTTCTGTGGTTGGCTGGCTTCAGCGATTGCTGATTGGTGTTCTCTCAACCAATAAATGGGTACATTTTTGTATTTCACCTGTGCCTCTGCTGGCCTTCGTGTTTTTTTTTCTGTTTTTTTCTTTTCGTCAGGTTCAAATTATGACGGTAGTCAGCTGTCGCCATTAGTACACGCCACCAATTTGCAGTGAACAAACTCTGATCCAGTTGTTCTACGCAATTCATTTAAGTAGTATAAATTTTGTAGGTTTGCACAGACCACATTCCGCGCGCGTACGAGTTCACCGAAGCCAGGAAGCCAGTCAACGAGGTGAAAAATCGTCTAAGCCATCTCATTCCCACGGATTCTCGCCGCGTGACCTTACCCAACGAGCCGGGTGTCGACGGTTCCACGTACATTAACGCGTCGATCGTGCAGGGCTACTACAACCTGCAGGAGTTCATCGTAACCCAGCACCCGTTGACCTTCACAGAGGCCGACTTTTGGAAGATGGTGTGGGACAAGAACTCGCCCATGGTTTTTGTGCTCTCGAGTGAAGATATGCCCGTGTTTTGGCCTACCGGTGCCCAGGAGGTGAGTCGGCGTCTATTCACCACCACCATCCCCAACACCACCACCACCACCATCACCACTGCCACCAACCCCACCATCATCAACACCACCACTGCCACCACGACCACCATCACCACAGCAACCACCACCACCAGCACCACCACCGCCACCAATACCACCACCATCACTGTACGATTGGGTATCCTGACTTGTTTTGCCCGTCTAGCCTCGTGTGATTGGTTGGTTGCGCGTGGGCTTCTGCGACCGCGAGGAGGTAACTGACGGACTGACGCGCTACGAATTTCTGCTTTCCTCGTCGCGCGAGGACTACGCGTTAACCTGCCACCTCTGGCGCCTCCACAACTGGCCCACGGCAGCTGCTGAAACTCGACGGGACTTCCTCAAACTCCAGTCCATCCTTGTCTCCGACCACGCCTCCTCCGCCAACGGCTCCACCATCGTTGTCGATGAGTACGTCTTTGTTGTCCCACTTTCACGTCTTGCCGCCAACTTCCGAATGAGCTCCTTTTTACGCAATTGTTTGAAGCTGCAAACGCTTAAGTCTGAACCATACCAACCCTGCTTAGCAAGCAAATTTTCACAATTATACGCTCTGATAGAACCACTTGTCTGTCGGTTGAGGTGTCTGCCGGTGGTCTTTTATGCCACGATTGGTCATTTTAAACTTGTTTCCAAGGTCACGAGCAAATTAAAAGCATTACCGTACTAACTGATTTCGACAACATCTTGAAAAATTTTCCAAAATTACGCAACAGGATAGCCATCAGAAAATAAACATTGCTTTGAAATATCACCCACAACACTGACACCATTGTTTCAAGTTGGGCACACATTGGTAAAGCAGTGACTCCACCGCGTTTACTTATTGTCATTGCTTCAATTGCATTGTGCGTTGTAATTCAGACGATCTACATGCCTGGAACTTGCATGAACGTCTAACGCGTAGGGCCCTTTCTAGGGGTCAACTTAAGATCGGAAACGAAAATGTGTGTGGAACCAAGAATTTGCAACGATGGATACCCTGAGGTAGTCAAATTCGTAAAACTTGGTTTCTTGTGATGAAAGTTAGGCGGTTTGCGCCCCCTTTTGGCGACTAACTCTCCTGTTGTGCTGCTGGAAAAAGCGGTTTCACAATCACCGTCAACTTACCCTCGCGTCACGAATGGCAACTTACCATCCTCAGTCACCGAGCAAGCCATCACGCGAACACATTCCGACAGGCACTTTACTCTAGCACCCTCGTTTCCTACCGTGTCAAAACCTGCCGTTGTGGTGCTGGACGTCACCTCATCTTCCAACGCTGCAACTGTCGGGCTAAGTCGACGGAGCACTGGTCCCTAACCATGTCTGGTGGCACCGGTTTGTTGAGGTCACGATGAGGCCAGAAACAACGGCCGTCTCAACTAAAAGCGTGATTAGACGTGCACTTATTGACAGACACAAGGCAATACCATGGCTTACATACTATAGGCGCTATCTGCGTTTACTTTCAGCTACGGTGGCAACAGAGCCGGCATCTTCTGTGCCGTCAACGTCCTGATAAACCAACTCACCATGGCCGGTTACATTGATGTGTACTTCATCGTGAAGATGCTTCACCTTCAGAGAACGGGAATATTCAAGTCGTGTGTAGGTTCTTGTTTTTAGAGTCGTGAAGTCGCTATGTCCGGTTGTGGGTGTTGATGCAGTTCGTGTCTATTCTGGCTTTTCAGGAGGATCTGGACTTTATCTACTCCGTGATGGAACAGTTCCTTTGTGAAATGCAGCAGCAAGACGACAGCAGCTCTTGCCTCGGCAACGACTCCTCGGGCTACGCCAACCTCAGCCTATTCAACGGCAAGATTCCCTCGATGGCGATTACCTCGAACGCCGTGTCGAAGTCGCCAAGCGCTAACGGTGACATCGCGCCCTCCAAGAACCCCTTCTTCCCTCTCCTGCTGGCCGAAGAGGATGAGGAGGAGGAAGAGGAGACGGCGGCGGTGTTGGTGGAGGAGAAGGTGGGACTCTCGAACACCCTCGAGCTCCACTCCCTGAGTTCAGCGCACAAGTCCGGTGCCTCAACTAGCCCTTCTGTGATCGGTGTTTTGACACCCGTGAAGAAGGCCAACGGCTACGTGAACGAGGGCCAACCGTTGCCACCTTTTCCCAGCCAATCCCCGCCTCCGTGGCCCCCTAAGGACGACCTTGAGCGTGTGTGCACCGACGACGACGACGACGACCCCACGCCCACAACCTCCCTGGTCGGCGGAGTCAGCGGTGGTAGTCTGTTGGACGACGCCGAACTCGCGATGACCGTGTGATGATGAAGCGCCACGCATTTACCCGCAAATGCATCTCACTCTCCCTCCCCACCCTCCTCAACTTGTGTATACCCTTCAAAAAATGACGTCAATCTCTTTCATTTTGCCATAACGTATCCACAAAACAAGCGACTTGGGATTTATCGTCCGAAGCCGCTTCACCCCACCTATTTCTCATGTTTAATAAAGATTATTGTTCAGTGTTATTGTTATCTTTGATGTGGTGTGCTTGATCTTCAACTTAGCCAACATCTTAACAGCGCGTTAACCACGCACTCTAAAATGTGATCGGTGGGATTCTATTTCACTGACCAATCAAATTTCACTAACCGCGTGATTCGCTAAATTGCAACATGTGTTGACAGACGTGCCACGGTTGTAAGGTCTCTGTCAGCTATCTTAGAAAAAAGGTGTTGGTTGGTGCGTTACCAAGGTGTCTGTTCTTGTTCCCATATTTCGTCTGTTTGCATTCAGAGTAGATGGCATCGGTATCGCCAAGTTCCAGCACTCAAATGTCGCTCATTCGAGAATCGGGCAAAGACGGCGCCGCGGGAGGTCGTCCGGTCCAGCAGCCGCCGCGTCCACCGCCGGTGAAGTTGCCGGTGCCCAAGCGCCCTCCGCTCACACCCTCGGCCGTCTTCACACTAATCCAGACCATCAAGGAGACGGGTCGCCGGCTGGGCATGAGTGACTGCGCCGTGGCCACAGCCTGCACCCTCTTCCACCGCATGGTCCGCGTGCTGACGGTCGGCGAGGAGACGGGCCCCTTCGCCGCCGAGGTTGACGGCGAAGCGGAACCCGCCACACCGGCCACGTTCTCGTCTAACAACGATAACCCCACGCCCTCAGCCATCGACGGGTCGATCCGATCGACTTTGGGGGATGTGGACCCCTATGTAAGTCCACTTACACTCCTTCTACACGTTCTTCCCCACCAAATTCAAGTGCAACCAACGAAGGCGTCTCTTGTCTGTTCTAGACCATGGCTATGGCATGCATCAGCTTGGGGGCCAAGGTGCAAGAGGAGCATCAGCGTCTACGCGACGTCATCGTCGCCTACTACAGGTAGTCCACGGCTTATTTCTGCAGGTTTTTAGAAGAGCTATTCGAAGAACAATAGAGACCACTGAATTTAATGTTCGGAATGTTTTTCACCGTTTCCTACGACCTCGCGCCATCTCTGAGGTAACGTACTAATGCAGGCTTCGGGGCAATAACGTCATCGGTGGATTTACGCACATCGTCCAGTGCTTTGAACTGATTGTGTTCGTTCAGCACATGTGGGACCCAGGTTCCAAGTTTTAGAACTTTTACCATTTGGTGCAAACGCTTGGAAGAAGTAGCTGTTTGCGTGACTCCTAACTGAGCTGCTGCAAGCCCTTGATGGGTTTTCGTTGAGTCCTCATTCCGTTGAGCTGGTAATAACGCATCTTCAAACTTCCACCATTTCATAGCATCGGCACGAAGAACACCACAAATTGATTCGCCCCGTGTTTCAGAAGCATTTGTATAAACTGCCGTGGTCAATGTGCTGTGTATCAGTTGTCATTTGCAAACTCTGCTGTTCTGAGAGGTTACGTAACTCACATAGACTTGTCATCCGGTGTTCTGATACCTTGCGTCCGACCCTTTCAAAACCACCAAAGACGGCAAAACCATTTCTTTTTTGAAAGTATAAAATCTGTGAGAATTAGGCCGTGCATCCAATAGAACGCAGTGACCAATCACCTGCAAATCTGGCGACCTTGGCCTTGTAGAGCCCTGCACAAGACGAAGAGACCGCCGTTGGAGGTGGGCGAGGAGTACGACCGTCTGCGAGTGAGCCTGGTGAGCGCGGAGCTCTTCCTGATGCGCGTCCTCGGCTACCAGGTGCGCACGAAGGCGGACCTGCCGCATGCCTACCTGCTGCACTACATGTCCGCCCTGCTCCACTGGATCGGCAAGGGCGTGGCCCACCCCCCGGCCAACCCCGGCGCCGACGACCCCCAGCAGCAGCAGCAGCAGCAGTACACTCAGAGCTCGCTGGCGCTCGCGCGACTGCCCGGCCTCGCGTGGTCCATCCTCATGGACTCCTACCACGCCCCGCTGTGTGTGGACTACGCGCCGGAGTACATCGCGGCGTCAATCTTGCATCTGGCGTTGCGCATCGCCGGTGTTGAGGTTCCTGGTAACCGCCACTCCGAAATGGCCTGGTGGCAGGTAAGTATCTGCAGCTTCGTGTCGTCGTCGTCGTCGTGCTCAAGTTGAGGTTATGGGCCCCAGTATGTGGTCTTGAACCACGCCGGGGCCACGGAATTAACCCTGGCTTGATTATGCTTCCCTGATATCCGCGATGAAGAAAAAAGACCGGAGAGGACGTGGACACAACCGTTTACTTCAGAGCTCAACCACGTTGGTGTCGTTGTGTCGTGTGTGGGGTTTGTGCGTGCTTATTTATACCTCTGAAGTGTGAGTCGTACATACGTTAACCTCGAGACCCATGTGTGAGGTTAATCCAAGATAAATACTAATGCGAATGAGGGGGGATTTGAGGATCCGCGCGGCTGGTGACATGCTGCGAAAATGGGAACCCTGTGTAGGAGCCTGGAGCGACCGGATTAAGGTCACAACAAGGTCAAATCGAGCGTTTCTGTGGCACTCGTTTGCATGGTAACAAGTGGACTTACAGGGGCGTTGACAAGTCTGGATGCTGCTTGTATTGTCTTACCCAATATCTCAGTTAAAAGATGTCCCTTTTCCACGCAAATTGCATGCGATCTTGGTGTCCATTTGCCTTCCAGGCCATTTCGGACTCGTTGTCGCGTGAAATCGTGGAGCAGATTCAGCTGAAGGTGATGGACATCTACGCTGTGGACGACCGGATCAACGCGATGGCCAACTATCGTCCAGACGATGACGATTTCTAGTCGCGGACAAGTAGAGCCCGTCGCGACACACAACAACTCTATTTTGCATTTTATAAACCATCGTTTTCATAAATCGTTCAAATCAACCCTCCTTGCGGCATTGACTCTTACGAATGCTTGTTCATTAGTTTGGTGGGTTTCAGTGCAGTCGCTTGGTGGTCAGTGTAGAGTTCTGTCCTACTGAAATGGCGATTTCAGTAGACTTGTGAGGCAGATTTCATCACTAATCACTAATGCGTCGTTTGCGTGTGTTCCAATTCATGTAGTATTTTGTCCCTGTTAGACGCACAGGCAGCCAGTTATCGCGGCAGGTGAAGTTTCCACGTGAGCCAATCATGGCAAGCTCGTGAGGTTTGCAAAATCCGGCATTTTTATTGGAGCAAATTTGTGGAAATCGTCACAGCATTGGTCCGTGGACCAGCGCTATTCGTTGACAATCGTCGTGCCAGCGAAGTAAACCGTGGTGAGGGTCAAATTAGATTTCCCAATAGTCATATTCGGTCTAAATGTGGAAAATCACAGGCTTCGAGAGCATTGCGTAGATTGCTCTGGCGATATTTAAATGCCAGTTCAAGGAAGGTAGTACGACCGCATGTTGCTGCTAGCAGTGTTCGGGGTACAAAGATCAACGTTGCATGAAGGCAGCGTGTGAAAGTTGAGATTTGTAAATCTGACCCGAACTGGTGGCTGTTTTGAAAAAATCTACTGCTGTCGCTTTTTCCGTATTCAACTCCCCCGAGGCACCAGGGTGTTTAGATCTGCCGGCGTGTAGAAGAATTACCGGAAGGCGTGAAATTAGGTCGGCGTTTTTAACCGTCGCCAAGTGGCGTTATATGTAGAAGCCGTTGTTTCACACACCGCCTCGTGACTGAATCGCATCGACCCGCGGTTCAGATGACCCCGCCAATCACGTGACACGCCTGGTTAGCACACAAAGACATTGGCGACGCGACTGCCACCGAGTCAAGCCGCGGACAACACACTTATGGCTGACTTCGACTCGTCGCCGTTTTCGGAGTCTTGTCAAAGCGACGGAGTCTACGACGAGACCAGTAAGTTTGTGGCTGTCTTCGGGCGTTACATGATTGGTTAATGGGATTTTAATGCTCGCTTCGAAGATGCCCTTCTTTGTACTCCTGTTTTTGAATTTCGATGATCTAGTAGGTTTTTTTTGCTGGAAGTTATTTTTATTAAAGTGAAAATCTTAAAATTTAACGGAAAAAAACTAAAATGAACCCGGGCTTCGATTAGTGATAGATGCTTAATTGCACGGGGGTTAAGACGATCTTTTCCGTGATCCAGTGTGAACATACGTTTCAGAGAAACTCCAGCTAAAACAATACATGCGTGAATGACTTCTGCAAACTGACACTTCGCTTTTCGTAACTTGGGCTTTTACGTAATCCAGTTGTAGCACAAATATCTGAGGCGTTGGTAAGAAATTACATTCGATTTTTACCAACGGTTGGTGACCTTCCGTTTCTGAGGTCATTTGTCAGCCCATTAATCCTTCCTAGATGAGCCACATTAATTGGGATTGGTTTTGAAAATTTTATCCTGGCGATTTTCAATAAAAATCACTTAATATGGGCATTCCCTCTCAGATTTCAAGTCGTGGTAGAAACGGAGTTTGGTATTATCACCTTGAGCGCAATGCGACTATCTCTTATTAAAACGAATCATTATTACTAAATTAAATTGGTCGATCGCAAAATCATCGGTTGAAAAAACGATCAGCTAACAGAAACCTGATGCAGATCTGGACTGCGTGAAAGAATGCTCTGCTGTCGATTTTGCAAATTCACAATGGAACAGCGTGTTCTGGGTTGGATTCAAAGATCTAATTGGTCAACTCATATCTTGGTTGAATCCCGCTTATAAATTGCCCCACCTCGCACAATCAGACTACCTGTTATTTTGAAATTGGCAAAAACCGATTACACTAATGACGATGACGTTATGCCGCAATTGGGTCAAGTTTTCGATTATTTGGACACGAAAATCGATGAACGCGGAGTCGTGGGGGCGTCAGATAGCCGACGACACGGCTAGTTTTATTCGTCATAATATCAATTTATGACTTTTTTACAGGTTTTTCAGCAAAATTATTCAATCTAAAAATGTAGAGAACAAGGAACTTCAAACTCGAAGTATTTTCTGTTGTTTTCTATGACCTTGCGGCATCTCTCAGGTAACGTGCCAATACCGTCGCCATAGAGACGCCATTGGTAAATTTGCGCACATCGTCCAACGTCTTGAAGTGTTAATCGACTAAGGCGTGATCGGATGAAGCCATGCCTGGTGAACATGCCACGTGTTAGAGAACTTCCCGTTCCAGGTTCAAGAGGGTCTTCTGGGTCGAGCGTTACCATGCCTTGCCCGTTTCTTTGTCTGGAATTGTGGAGCTGTCAGAAAGCTGGCAGTATCCGTCATAATACTCCACACTAAAAAAAACTCAAAACTACCCTCCTGCCCAGTCGTAAAGCAAAGATTTTAATGGGAAAGCGTGGTTTTGTGCAACTGACCTCCTTCTGCTCTGCTCCCAACTTCATCTACTATCTGTAGATGCGGACACCTTCGGCACCTTCGAGGGGAGGGAACGGTTGTCCGAGGTACCATCCCCTGGCCAGTCCACCAGTCCACAACACCAGAGGAATTCTTCGGCCTCACCCACGCCCGGAACCAAGCAACCTTCGCCAGCTCGCAAACGCGCCAAGAAAAATTGGCTCTTGCCAACTCGCGCCTTCGGCCGTCATGGTTTCCACGTGACAAGGCGATTCGAGTACCACCCGCTGCCACTGCCGCCACGCCTTCAGATGATCCTCGACAAGGAATATAACAAGAAAAAGGTTGACACTATCAACCGCCTGATTTGTGCCTACCAGCCGATTGACCTGTGATTTACGCGTGTGTGTGAGTGTGTGGGCTTAAATTTGATTTTTTTGTACCGCCTTCATTCTCTCATGTAAATCATTTCATCAATGATCTGCATTTTAAAGCAATTGTTTAGTTATCTTCTTGATCGATGTCGTATTCCTGTTCTTAATTTTCACAAATGAAAATACACATTAGTTAGAATTATCTTGTTGTGGTGCCTTGTGCGGTTGTCGATGTTATGTTAGTAGAACCACCCAAAGTAGCTAGAAAATGAACACGACTAGGTGTGAGCTAAACGAACGTCCAATTGTGGATGTGCATGATCATGTTCGCAAGGGATTGGCTGTTGGTGGGAACCAATAGAAAATTACAATTACGTCAGCCAGTAAAGACTAACCAATGCAGACAGCCAATTACAATCCCTCGTAGAATAACCGTGCGCTAGTTTTAAAAAAAGCAAAAAACAACACATTAAGGTTTATTGATTAACAGTCAGGCAGCGTCTATTTAAGTCCGAAATACTCTCTAGTTGGTTGCTGAGCATCAAAGTAGACTTGGATTGGCTGGATGCGGCGCGATCTAACATGTCTGCGCGCTTACACGTCACTAAACCAACCGGAACCCACGACATTGCTTTGGAAAGTGGATGCATCGTTGAAACGCGATCGATGACTATTTTCATTTGTATTGGTTACAAATTACCGATTTCGCAAACCTTTAATTTGTAACCGACATTTGTCTGTCAAACGAGGCCCATTTAAACCAGATGACAACTAGTTAGCCCCAACTACTTTCACCGTAATCGATTAGTTCGCAGGACACTATATTTGTAGACCAATCGCTTCATTTGTTAAATGAGTCCAAGGTCATAATAAAAAAAATGATTAGTGGTGTCATTTCTAGCCAGTGTTAAGCGCTGTAGTGAGATACATTTATTTACTAAAGTTAACGAAACAGACAATTAGTGTATTGTACAGAGGGGTTAATCGTTAACATTAAAGCTTTTTGATGCCGTGAATTTGGTGTTTCGAAAGGCCGTGAAGATGAGGGGTGTTTTAACGCTGACGGATTGACGGAAGGACTGCGAGCGCTGTGGAAGAGGCGTAACCTGCCTCGGGAAGGTGTGTCGTTCTCGAAGACTTCGCGAGTACTCCAGGCGTCGCTGGGTGGCCGACGTGACTGTGGGTTCGCGCGACGCTGACAACTGCTCATTGAGTGTCCGGCGTCGGGTGTCGCGACTGGCGGTAACGGTGGAGGGCCTGAAGGTGACTCCGAATCTGGGACGGGGTGTCACCCCCGGCGTACAAGTTTCTATCATGCTGATTGGGCGTGGACGTGTGACGCGATTTGCGGCTCTCCTTCTGACATCGTTGCTTGGAAGGGAAATGGCAAAAATCGATATTTTTTAGTGAAGTGAGGTGTGCGGCTTAGGACACATTTGATTGGTGGAAAATTTGATTGGTCCAAACTTGGCCAGTAATATTGTGCGCCACCTTGTGGAATTGGTAGAGTAACCAATGAGAGGCAGACTTACGCGGCAGGTCGAGGTCCACCGCGATCCAGAACCGCTTTGATAGCGCTTATGCGTTGGCTGGTTAGGGATTTAGACTCGACAAATTTCAAATTCTCCTCCAGCCACGCAGTATGCTGCTGTAGGCGCTTGATCTCTTGGCAGAAAAAGGCGCATCGCTTGACCATGTGTTCATCCACTTCGTCGTCCCCTTCAATACCGAGTTCGTCTGCAGTAAAAGGTAAAAATACCATCCAGACTTTGCAAAACTGAAGTAGCCACGTTGACTTCAGCAAACTGGACTAAAACATCCCAACAGAATCGTCTACTGATATTCCATTAAGTAGTGTTTAATGTCAACTCACCGAAATCGGCCATGAGCAACTTGTAGGCCCCTCTGGCACCCTTGAGGAGGGAGTGCCTCCCCAACATGTCGAGGGTCTTGTTGAGTTCCATCAGCTTCTGCTTGTATTCATCCCTTTCTTTTTCAATCTCTCTCACCCTCGCCACTTGTGCGCGTTTCTCTTCAGCGTACTAAGGACACAAAACGAAGGCATAATGACTCGATCCCTCACGACTTCCCGCCGAACCCACTAAGGATCAAGTAGTGGCCACTTTGCGCCAACAGTTGCAGCGTTGTAGCGAACCCCTCTAACTATTTTTCGCTGTGAATCCAGACTCGTTTGTTTGTATTGGCGATCGATTGCATTTGGCGTTGAAGAGCGGCGCACTTAGATATTGGATTATTGATTTTTAGTGGACGGTTAGCACACACGAGTGAGCCCCAGCTTGTCTGCGCTTTGATTGGTGCTTGCTATTCACCAATACCAATCATTTATCTGCGTTCACAAGTACCCGAGAAACATGCTCCCACACACACGCGCACATACACCGCCATCGTTGTTCTTTGGGCATCACTAGCTACTACAGAAGTCAGTCAGCGCAAAGACTAGCCAATAAAAAATGGCTCTAAAAGGATTGTGAGACGTTCATTGGCAGCTGTGAATCAAAAGCTGACCGTTCATTGATTCTCACAGTCAGCCAATCGTTATTGGCTACCATTTGTCCTCGCCTGGGCTCTTTCTTCCTCTTTGCTTCACCTTCAGAATCTAGAAACTCAGTTTAAAAGTATTTCCTGGAACAAGAAAATTTGAACGAGTGAAGTTCAGAAAAGCCCTGGTGTGGAGGCAACACATCAGATTTTTAAATAGCTACTAAAAAAATTGAGTAGTATATAACCCTAATCAACAACCCGTTAATGACGAATGATATGCGCTCAACGGGTAGTACGCATAGCGTTTAGATAACTAGTATTCGCGACGTGAATTGGACACGTGATTCTGATCTGCCTCGAGAATATATGACGTGACCTTGGATTGACCTTCCCACCTTTTTGAACTATCTCTCGCCAACGACTTACCAGTTCCTTCACTCGATTGCACTTCGATCTGACGTCTTCAACTCGTAGTTCCTGACGCGTCAAGACCTCCTGCGTTCTTCGGTCCAAGTTCTCGGCATATTCAAGTCTAGGACACAGAGGAAGGTTGGTGAGCATTTGGAAGTAATATCGCGAATTCAGATTCGGTGTTAGCTGGAGTTGAACTGGTTAGATGTTTAAGGTCCAGTTAGAACCATGTGTTAGTCCTACCGTTTTTGAACCTCCGAAAGACGGTGATTTAGATTGTCAAGTTTGTTGATTTTCTGCGAGGAAAAAGCACATATTCTGTCTGTTGCAATTTACTTTAAGCGTGTAATGGTGAAGATTTGCTACCTTAGGTATTCAGACGTCAAAATGGAGGTACATAAAAATCGTACTACTAATAAGATGTTAGTACAGAGACAATTTAGAGGCTTTTTACGGAATTATGAAAATAAACCTTACAGCTGAAACTTCGGCCTCCTTGGGACGAAGGCTTTTGAGTTGCTTGTGTCGCTTCCGGATTCTTGATTTTATTCGGATGCACTGTTCGTCAGCTGCTGTGATAGCCTTTTCCACTTCTTGACTTGTGAAGAAAAAAGAAACAATTTTCACAGTTATCACACAGTTTTAAGTTAAGTGATGTGAAAAAAAGGAAGATTTAGCAGAGAACCCCGTTCTGTCATATAGACGGAATTATTACCACAGCTGGGACTATCGGTTTGGAGGAACTGGCAAACTTACTAAGTTGGCCGAACAGGGTTCCTACTTAAATTGATTTAAGTAGTTCCTCATGCTAACAATAAACCGACTTTAAATTGAATTTCAATGCCGCCAACTTACTTGGCTAATTCAAGTTGCCGGTACATTAGAGAGGGCTGCTGGTCCAGACGACTGATCTCACACCTGAGTGAGTTGACCTTCGCGGTGAGATCGTCGGCTTTCCGTGTCACCTCATCGATTGTCTCGTCTGGGGTGTCTGCTGCCGCAGTGGCGATGATGCGATTGACGTCGGACCTCTGCGTGTGAAAAAAAGGGCCTTTTTTAAGCGTCAAAATTGGTTTGCTGCTATGAGCAAACAGCGCAGGTATTGTAGGCGCTGACAGGAAATGGATTAGCGGTGATTGGCCGAACGCGTGGACCGCCAACTGATTTCATTAGACTTCTGACAGAAAATCAATAAATTCAACGCCTTACATCCGATTGGAAGTAAGTTGATTATATGCGGGCCTTATTTAGGACAGTTTGAGGAACTATTGCAATTATGCAGAATTTCTTTCAAGGAAAAAGCACATACCATCAACTCGGCTTGTTGGCGCGACTGTCGAAATGCTTGACGCTGCGCCTCGACGGTGACAGTCAGGTCGCGGATGAGGGCAGTTTTCTGCTCGAAGGCATCCACCTTCAGGGAATTGAGCTTCGCCGTCATTGCTGCTGCCTTGTCAGTGAGTCCCGCTAAAGCCCTGTAAATCCACCAAATGCGTCATACTTCATGACGTTTTTGACCAATATTGAGTCCTACGTCTACTCAACTACACTTCACCCCAGGTATCGCACATGAGCCACGTACGCCCAATCAGTAATCGATAATCAATTGCCAGAGTTAAACTCATCACAGTTTGCAATTATACTTCCATGGCATGCAACTGGTCATGTTAATAAAGGGTGCAAAATCGATTTTTTAAAATTGATTTTCACTGTTATTTGCATTTAAGTATGAGCCACGTACGCCCAATCAGTAATCGATAATCAATTGCCAGAGTTAAAACTCAGCATAGGTTGCAGGTATATTTCCAAGGCCGTGCAACTGGTCATATTAATAAAGGGTGGAAAATCGATTTTTTAATTGATTTTCACTGTTATTTGCATTTAAGTATGAGCCACGTACGCCCAATCAGTAATCGATAATCAATTGCCAGTTAAAACTCATCACAGGTTGCAATTTTACTCCCAAGGCCATGCAACTGATCATGTTAATAGAGGATGCAAAATCGACTTTTTTAATTGATTTTCACAGTTGTTTGCATTTAAGTTCATTCATCCAGACTTCAACACAAGTCAACGGCTTACTTTCTGCGCTCCTCCAATCCAAAACGCAGGACTCGCAAACGAATTTGGTGGCTCGACTCGTCTGAAGTCGTGGACGGGATTTCAACCACCTAAAGACAACATCCTGCAATGAGTTGAGTGCGTGAGAAGGGAGGCGGCAACTACCACGAAGACCGCATAGCAACTACCTGCTCGCCCTTGTCTAGTAATAATCGAGACTGATGAGCTACGTGCTCCCTGAGGGAGTCGCATAATCGATTTTTCGCCTGCAGGAGGATTGCAAGAGGATCCGTCCGGTGCACTTCTGGCGAATCAACCTTAAAAGACGGAAGAAATTTCAGAAATGGAGAGCAAAATCGCCAGACTCGGTGTCAGATTAACTAATTGCTTGCGAACCGTGAGAATCCTGTGACTTAAACACACACGCGGCGTGTAATTTGAGGCCACGCCCTAATTTTGCGATGTAAAACCCTCAAATCCACCTGATAAACCCACTGAGAATGGTCTAACTCGAGGACACACGGTAACCGATAAGCACACCGTAAATTCCACTATCACATGTCGCCAGCGGAGGCAAGATAGCTTAAAATTTGGACCAAAATTCGTACTTGAAGTGACTGAAGGTTGCACAAACGAAAATATCTTAGCATAATTTGGTGTCTACTGCTACCTCATAACACTTTTTTTAACAAAATGCCCAAGGAATTGATGTCTCATGATTCTGACATGGTTTGAATGAAGTAAGACGCTGCCGATTGCCGAACTGTCGATCCTGGATGGTATTACACTTCGAAGATCTTCGAATATTGAAGTAACCGACAAACTGAGGGTGTAATACGATGATCAGGAATTCCAGGGCGATTAACACCATACTCCAACCAGATTCCTCTTATAGTCTGCTAACTACCGAGCGATTTCTTACACATGTTTACATCAATGACTGATCTACTCAGTTAGGTAAACTTAGTCGGTTGCCAGAGCGTAGAGCAAACACATTTGTGAGCCACAACGAATTGGCAAGAGTCGTAAACTTTGTGTGCTTATGTGCAAGGCTTTCACAAGCTAGCATGAGTTGCCTGTCTGAGGGAAGCACTGGCAACGTGGTGCATTAACTAGCAGAAAATTCCGACAGATTTCAAAAACGTTCTCGGGCAATTTGCACTTAGGTGTTAAGCTAGTGTAATTTTTGTCACTACGAATAGAGACTTCCACAGATTTCAAGAAGAAATGTTTCGGCTGTGGCGCTGAGAGTCTAACTGAACACACAGGTCAAAATTGGTTCAAAAATATCCTAGTTGAGCTTAGCCAATCAGCGTTACCCAAGTTTGCCTTGATCGCTCTATTTAAGTTGATGCCATTAATGAAACTGAAACGAATCGACACTAGTGATTGAAAATTGATCGTCTACACTGAAATCAATGAAAAGTGATTGCGGTGCAGGTCTGGCGAACCAGAACAAACCGCGGCAAAAACGTAACTGCATGCAGAAGTTGATGGCGTGGAGTAATGTGGGCTGCTTCTGAGGAAACAACCAATCAGATGTTAATGAAACTTCACGTTGTATAACGCGAAAAGTCATTAGAGCTGGATTTGGACGCTGTGTCACGAATCCCTAACACAGCAGCCCCGATTATACTCCATCACCAGGTAAAATGCAATGGACCAATGAGCTAGATTTCAAGCTACAAGGCCGGAATTACGGTATTGACAACCTTTTAGGTCCACGCAATAAAATATTCCAACGCTGAGACTAAAAATATCTGCAATAATGAAGCTTGCCAGATTGTTTAATAATACAAAGATCAGAGTAGAATCGCTTGGCCTGAGGGCAAACAAGACATTCACTGATGGTCACTAGAAATCAATAAAAGGAACCAGTAGCGATGATACTAGTCAGGAAGAACAAGATGCATTCCATCAGTCAGATTGCTCTTCGAATCCAGATGATACAATGACACGTGAACAGTGTTGAAACGAGTACCTACCTGACTTTTGTGCTGTGTCAATGACGTTATCTGCGCCTCAGTTGCAGCCAAGCACAAGTCGATACAATTCTTGCGTTTGACAAGGTGTTCATTTAGGAGGCATTGCAGTTTTCCTCGTGTTTCTGCTGGTAAAACGTCCTCCTTCAAACTCCGCACCTTGGTGAGCAGGCTCGAAGATCTCGTCATCTCCTGAGACAAGCGTTCCTGGAGGTCTGCCAGAAGCTCTCTTTTTGGCGGCTAGAACAATTTGGAGAAGGATTGAAACGTATAGCGGGAAACTGATTTTAAACAACTGAGCATAGACTCGATATTGATGACATTAAATGCCCAAGAAATCTAACTGTCGCATTGATGATTTGTGACTTGTTTAAATGCACTTATTGCCCAAGGTTGACTCAAGGTCATGTCAGATCCGCAAAAGGGACAAATGCAATTAAAAGGCAATATAGTCTCCTGTTTGAAGTTGTCATCGATTTTAACACCTTATAGTCACGTGAAAATACTCCTTTTAATAGTATTACCCAAAATCCGTTTTCGGTAGAAATGGAGTTGGATAAAAGTGGAATTAAATTGACAATTATGGAGAGTAGGGAATTGGTGAGGGACCATAAACGTCTTTGTCGATTAGTTGTTGTTGCCGTAGCAGAACTACCTTTAATTACATATAGCACTTAGAAAACGGTCCGCTGGAACAAACCCATAACAGTACTTGATGTCATTCACTTTATATGTCAGATTGATTGAAATATGCGTCTTTTTGGTGCAGGAATCACAAACATGAGCAAATGCATATACTACTGATGATAAACGCAGTGCAGCAATAACTTGAATTGGAACAAATACTTTCGGATCAAAACAGAAACTCGCTAAAAGTCGGTGTTTGTTATAAAAAAGAGGCTGTTAGTACCTCTCTTTGCCCAAAAATGCTTCGATGTCAAATTGTTGATTACGATTAACACATGAATTTATCCCTACTAGAAGGCGAAAGGAAGACTGCAAAGTGAATTTGATTGGCTGAACAGGTTAGAGGACGTGAGTCGATTGGATGGTGCAGAATACAGGATTTAGCCAATCGATGTGCTAGCGGAATTTCGCAAAAATGCACAAACATAACCTACTGTTGAAGATCGAGTCAGTTCGATTTCGCGGATCTTGGCAAGCAGGTTTTCACGATGACTGAAATGCAGGAATAAAAAAGGATCGACAACTGGTAGACTACTTCTGACCAATGTGATTGAACTACGAAACTTGACATAAATCTTATCTTGAACGTTAATAATCGAGTGCCACGTTAACAAAAAATTCATTTTAACGTTCAGTCGTGGTTCTGAAGGCAGGTTGATTGCGATTTTGAGAGGAAATGGAAGTTGAACCAGACAATCAAAAAAACCTGTGACTTGAATACCATTTTCCACCACCTGGAGGCAGTGGACAAGGTTCAGAAGATGAAAGCGTAGAAGGCACGCGAGGTAGTGAAAAACCTAACACATCATTTCTACACTGTTACGGTCAAAGAAGGGTTTGAGTAGGTAGATGCTTGCAATCACATCCGCTAATTGCTCAGAATCTTCATATTTGCCATTAAAGACGATGATCAGCGTGTGGTACAGTCGTGACGTGAGATCGTAATCGATGGCGAAGACATAATTAAGTAGAATATGTTCATATTACGGTTTTATGTGTTAATAAATGACTGCTTGTGGATTTGGGATTAAGTTTAGGAGGGTTTCCATGGAACCGCCGGCACAATGGAAAAAAATTGACCCTCTTTGTCAACCAACAGCGAATCTGTCGAACGGCAAGTTAACAGAGATTGAAGAGCAATCGATTGGTGAGACAGGTGGAACGTGGACTCCAAAAGAGGCCACATGCGGTCCCACGACCTACGGACCAATCAGACCAGCCCAACTACATGCACAGGTCACATGCACTCGCTTTCAGCACAACAGCCCTCGAGTTACTACACTTTGAGCTAGAAAAACACACACACACATGCACATTTTGACATGGGGTCAGCGCACGGCAGGTGAGTGCTGAAGAGTAAACGTCAGTCGCGAAATCGCTGTCTACGCGTTTCTCAATCACACGCACACATGGCGTTTTCTACCAATATTTACGCATGGCGCACCAGATTCTATTTTTATCGTGCTTGAAAATCCAACTTGATAAGAAGCTCCGGTAGTGTTGACGAGTTATCAATTGAGAGGTTAAGATGTTTAAAGCGCAACGCCAACTTACAGAATGGTTGCGTCGAGGTTTTCCTTAAGCTGGTGTCGTTCAGCATAAAGCGAATTCAAGTCAAGTTGCAATTTAAGCAGTTTTTGGTGCAAATTTGCAGCCGTGAGGACGGGTTCTGTGGTTTCAGATGTTAGACGAAACTTTGGCGGTACTGCCTCCTCATGTTTGTTACAATCATGGGCCAAGAATACAGAATCCTGAAAAACGTACAACTACTAATGAAGTCAGACTTGACCAATAGCTTAAAGCCATTAAATCGCTATAATGTAAGCAAAATTGACGACCAGGGAAACGTGGATCAATAAAGAAGCATGGAAGAAGATGTGTCGATTAAGGATCTAAACGGAAGATTTCAGATATGACAAAAAGTTAGACTTAACACCTTTCAGACACAGCAAGTTGCATTTCTGGTCGTAAGTTATTCATGTGGCAAAATTCATTGAATTTGGAAATAGGAAAAAGTAAATAATTTACGCTGTGCGACCGTGGATGTGGGTTCTTGATGCTTGGTACGGTCATGTGGTTGGATAATGACTGGGAAATTGACTCCGGTGGCAACCTGAAGAATAAAAACAAAGACATTGCGTGCGTGTGTTAGCGAAAGCACACGATGAAAAGAAATACCCAAAAGCATGCACAAAACTCAAGTTACAAAAACAAAAGGCTAAAAGCTAGAAGCCTGCGTTTAAGTTGTAAAAAATACCGTTGAATTGATGTTTTGCAAACGTAACTATCATGGCAAATGGTTAAGATATTTTGTTATGACTTTTTTGAATTAGTTGGTAGTGATTTTTTACAATTAAGCCAAACCAAAGAATATGTGCTCTAAGACAAAAGGTAAAACATACGCTTCAGTGATGTTTTCACCTAAAAAGTACGAATAACGAAATATGACGTAAGACGCAACAGAAAAAGGATCATTGCTCGAGTTTAATCACAACTTAATGACCATTTGCTTAATGCATGAACAAAATTAGCGCATTCAGGCACTCGAAAATGAATAAACGAAGAACACCTGACTTCTATTTAGAGCGACGTAAACAAAATTTATGAAAAATAACAGTAAATACATCCTAGAGAATTTAAATGCAATCAAACATTGAAACCACGATGTTTACAAAAAGAGATTTCTTTTCCACCAATATGCCAAAAATCCCCCAATGATTAAACCATGTATTGAATTGCCTGTTGAGCACAAACAAAGAGTGCATTGTATTTAGGAATATTCTTGCAGACTTTAAATAACATATTCAATTAACTTAGGGTTTCACAAAAAAATTAGAAATAAAATAAAATTTCGATCAACAATTGAGTTTAGGATACTGCTTACAATGATATGCCATAAACACAATTAAATCTATATAAAGAAGAGGCCAATGACAATACCAATACAAAATCCTTTGCAAAACGGAGAGATGCATTAATTTAACTAGATTCGATGAGTGCTCACGTGTAAAACTTTGTGGTAAAAATAAGGTACCATTTTCCGGATTTTCACTGGTATCTGACAAGGGGCTTGAGAAGTAAGTAGAGTCTAGGGAATTATCGCCAAAAAAGTAGTTCTTTTGTCTTTTTTCGAATGCAGACGCACCATACGATTTCTTTTGGCCTGTTGTGCTGCACTGTTTATTTGATGATGTGGAAAGATCACAAATGGATGGACTTTGGATGTCTAAACCAATGCCTATTCACATGTTACCAGAATAACTGAGAGTGTTAACCTTTTGTTTCTTTGTGTACTTGGCTATTATCATCAGAAAGAATTTCAAAATGGACATTTTCATGACGTCTAGGCATGGTTATGAAACTAGTCAAAACCACAAGACGAGCCTATTTACTCAAGGACACATTCGACTTCCTCACGTTCAGCAGTAGCGCAATTAAACACAGTCATATCATTCAAGAAAAATTATGAACATTAACATTGCATTTACAACATATTATTATAAACTTTATTTTTAGAATTTACTGTAACTAAATATTTTAGACTATTTTTTATCAGTTTTTAAAGTTTTTTTTAAATTAACGAAATAAAAGGCTATGCCCAACAAATACCAATCACTTTATTAGATCCATATTTACTAAGATTCACAAGTTAATAATATTGCAATAATGTTTTAAAATTTTCGCTACTGTGAGAAGCGAGTTAAGCCTTTTACTACTAACACCTCATCACAAAATATTTGAAATGGGGCAAGTGATTAATGAATTTGCTATCTACAACCGAAAAAGCCTTGTTTGTTCTGTCACAAGCTGCAAAGACATATATACCAAGTCACGAAAAATTTCATTCGTTGTCAAACGTTCGGTCCCTCTCAATTGGTGCCAAAAAATGTTAAAGTTCTAAAGGTGCGTATTGTCGATAGAAGTGCTTTTTTACCTGGAGTACAGTTCCCCTATTCTAATGTGATCGACATGAATTTTCGGCATTCATTTGTGTTCAAAATCTAAATTTCTCTGCAATATCACTTTGTTTAAAAAATTATTGTGTTGAAAAAGATTAGACAGAACAACTGACAGATTGCATGAGAAATTTACTCCTTTGAGGTGCAATTGTTAAAGTAGACCTAACAGTTGCTGGGCTCTTTAATATATCGTGGGTTTTTGTTTGGTGGCGCGTCGTTTTGCCGTTGCCAATCTAAGGTAAGAGAATTTCGGTTCCTTGTTTGATCAATGTTTAACCCTGCTGACACACACTAATGAATTAATTGTCTTATAATTCGTTAAAGTTTTAAATGCCCACGAAATGACCATAAAATGTTTACTTTATTTTTCGTTGAAATTGTAAAGAGGTTATAGTTTTCTTATTAATACGAATATGGCAGATGCTGTGTGTTGGTTTTTTAAGGTGCACACATAAGATGAAAGACCACGGCTTGTTATTTGGAATTAACGAAGTCACTAGACACCCGGGGATTGAACCTTTAACGCTAGTACTGAGCGGCTATCATTTGGCTTGTCATGGAAGTATTCGACACGTAATGATCTATAGCCAGTTCATTGCTTTTTTGGAATAGCCTACTTTTGTTTCAAAAAGTTACATAGATTTTAAAAACAAACTTAGTATAGTTATGCCCCATTGCTTTTGTGAGACTGCCGTTCAAGGAGGATCCTGGCTGCAAAAACCAGTGCGCCGGTGTTTGTTTTTTGGAAAAAAATGTTTGGGCAATGGGCATGTCTGATAGTCATAATTGCGACATTTTTCTGCTAAAAGATTATTACCTCCGTATAAAAAAATATTACGAATGTTGTTAGTAGGAGAGCATCGTCCACTTTATGCTTCTGTAAGGGTGCCTGGTTGGTTCATCTCTCATTTGCACAAAACCGAGACATTTTCATCAGCGGCTAATTCATTTTCAGTGTTAATTATTGTGTGACAACCATTTACTTCACGGGCATGAACTAATGTTGAATCACAAAACATACACTACGTCCACGAGAGACACAAATCCAACCTTGTTAATTTGCACACAGTGAACCGATTAAATACTTTTGTAATTAAATTTTGACTTTGTAGTTAACCAACAACCCATACTTGGCGTAATTGGTGCTGCTAAATATTTGAAAAATTGATTTTTCTTTTAGGATAATGTCTTCGTACGGAAGTAGAGTGCACAAAGTCGCAAACATTTTCCGACGGTTTGTAACTTACGAATTTCTCTCAGCTTCTTTCTTAGAGTTAGTGGCCTCCTAAAGAATGGAGCGATGTCGCCTAACGAGAGGCCACTGTGGTTCGACGTCTACAAAGCCTTCCCTCCTAAAGTCGAACCGAATTTCGAACGACCGTTGCCTGAGAATTTAAATGTTCGTGAGATACTCTATGGGGAGGATAAGGGCCGTGTGTAAGTTGCTCTTCAGTTGCTTCTTTTACTTTTTTATGTGTACATTCTATCCTCTTAAACAATGAAGCCGTAACAAGAAGGGATGCACTGTACAGTGTTATGGTTCCTGTTTTTTTCCGTATCTCTTAAGCCGGTAATTTTTGATTGCAGATGGTAAAGTATTGTCAATCATAGTGAACGGAAACATGTCACCAGCCACTTCTTCAAAACATTCACGGTGGTTTCACAGATCGGGTCATCTCGTAGGGGTTGAAATGAATTCCTCTTGGAAAGGCTGCATCTGGTTAAATGATCTGATATCTTATCAAATCCCCAAGATCCGCGTTTTTGGCATTAAACAGGTTTATTTTAGTCAAAAGCCTCTAGAAAACTCAGCGCTGTAACTGTTTTCGTGTCTATCAGTATCTAGTATAAGCTAGCTCTAGCTCTTTGAAGCCTAAGTGCTTGCGAGTGTGGTTACGGAAGTGGTTACGCTTTCGCTGAATGGATTTTCAGTTGAAACAAAATGAGGATTGGAATCCCTTAACCGGGTTGATGGCCTAGTTTCGCAGTCATTAATCTTGCTGTTAGTGCGTTTAAGTTCGAAACAGACATTTGCCTCAATTTCACCCATTTTTGGACTTCATAGGAGGGCTTTTTTTTTATCACCAAATGACAAGTTCTCTTTGGTGTGGACTAATACTAAACGCATTGTGCAAAATATGTATCCAATATTTAAACTTGTTTAATTACATCACGGCTTTGAATGACATCCCCTTTGTAAACCGGGAGACTTCATTCCCACTAAAGACAGACAATGTGGATTACTTTTTTGCATTTTAACCTTTGCAGAGCCTTCCTCCGAAAGTACGCAGTGGAAGACCTGCACAACATGTTTGCGGTCAATGACCAGGGCACCTACATGGCCAGGTAAGGCGAATTTCCACGCCAGTCGCATCACACGTCTCTCCTCTGTCTCTTGTCTCCTCTCCTCTCTTTGTGTGTGTATGTGTGTGTAGGTTCATCGCGAAGGGCCGAGCGATGGGCGCTGATAGCGACCACAACCTGTGGGAGGACGATGCCTTTTTGGGGAAAATTCGCGAATCCCTGCAAAAAGACGGAATCATTTTGCACGAAAAGAAGACAGATGCTTAATTTGTACCGGTCTAGAATATACTCCCCTTTTGATATACCCAGTTGTTACGTTTTTGTCGTGAATTGCTGTTGTTCTTACTTTACACGGTCAGTTATTGGTTATGGTAAATTGCATTGTTAGCTACAAGTCGAAGTGTTTTGCATGGAATTTAAAACATAACCTAGGCACTAACACCGTCGACGCTACTAACACCACCACCACCACCACTGCTACCATCAGAAGTGGATTACCACTAACCTTGTTTTTCACCAATTAGGATCTCGTATTCCTTGGTTCGGGTTCAGCCTACCCCTCACCCCATCGTGGGGCCTCATCGCTGGTCCTGCGGCACCACAAGACCGGAGCGCAGTGGCTCTTCGACTGCGGTGAAGGCACCCAAGTCCAGGTCCAGCGTTGCGCCCACGTCCGACCCCAGAGAATCTCGCGCATCTTCATTAGCCACCTCCACGGGGATCACATCTTCGGCCTACCGGGCCTCCTTTCAACCATTTCGGGAATGCGGGAACATGCAGTTGATCCCAAGTGGGTTCACACAATGGAGCCGGGCACTGGGCCACCGGAGCTGGAGATTTACGGGCCTTGTGGGTTGAGACGCTTTCTAAGGACCACGACTGCTATCTCCTGGTGAGTAGGGTGCCATCTTTTCGTGCATGTGGTCGTCGCTGTTCCCCTGAATCTCCGTTTTCAAATTGGTTGAAATTTCTGCACAACCCAATGCGCCTAGTTGGGTGGAAATTTACTCCTTTCCATCGAAGAGTTGGTCTTATGATATATCCGAAACGAATACACATTTGACTGATTCTGTGGAGGTTGTTTCCATGTTAGTTGGAAGAGTCGTCATGTTACTAAGTAACCAAAAATGACATGGGTATTCATAAGTTTGGACAATTAGGATTCGCATCAAGTCAGTGGTTGAGAACATGGGGGTGGGGGAACATGGTTTAGGGTATTTGCCGCAGGAATGCCTGTCGCGTACCTCCACAGAACTTCGTATCTAGGTTACTAGTAATCTACAGTCATAGCCCCAAATAAATGTGCGTCTCGTCGTTATTAAGATGCACAATTTTCATGCAAAAAATCCACCACTCCTTTAGGTCGCTGTTGCGAATGTCCTACGCCGTGCACGAACTTCATCCACGTCCTGAACAGGTTTCAACGTGCTTCCACAGGTGGACGGCCTTTGATCTTGATCCGGTTCGCGACAAAATGCTCCCATTTGAACGCGAAGGCAGGGATCTCCAACCAGATGCCGATGGTAACTCTTTTTTTCCCCAAACACATCTTGCGCACTTTTGTAGCGCTAATTCCCTAACCTTAGTCTTGAATCATGCCAGCAAATTTTTCTGCTGAATGAGTCCACGCGTAGTCCAGCCAATCAGATTGCAGCAAATTGATTCGTCGTAACCCTATTGGACAATCCACGCTGGGAAATACCAGGCACCATTTTCGTGTGCGAAATCAACTTACTGTATTTCGATGGCCATTCTCGTTCACATCAAGGCTAGTGTATGTAATATTCTTGCATTCAAACCGGACAGTCGTTAAGCCTGGCACCACCTTATAAAGTGACTTCGCAAAACTCCAGTTCATTCGTACTTCCCCCCGTTGTAGGCTTCTTTCGGAACATATTTGGCTCGGAGCCAGGGGCCGGTGATGGATTAGAGGACTTCGTGGTGCACGCTTTCATGCTCGACCACCCAGTTCCGTGCGTGGGCTACTTGCTGCTGGAGCCCGCGCCTTTGCCTCGTCTTCTCGTGGAAAAGGCCGTCAAGTTGGGTGTCAAACCGGGCCCCCTTTTGGGCAAATTAAAGCAGGTCAGTCCCCCTGACTGTCCACACTGTTATCGATTAGTTTTTTTTCTCCCAGTTTCGTTCCACAATCCTAACCCCCTTGGAACGACCCCCACTTCACAAACTGAACACACTTCGATGCTCTAACACAAAACCCCAGCTATGTAAACGCGCGCAATGCGAAATAGAGGTTAAGTTAGGCATTTTATCGCGGTATTCAGGAATCATTTTGCACAAAGCGGTTGCGTATGCGCAATATAAGGTTTTCGACAATTTGATTGTACGTGTGAGTTCAGTGTGTGAAATTTCCCTTAGCATAGAGTTATATTGCACGTTCGCTTTCGCAAATTGTGCTATTTTAACATTTCAAAAAGTCTTTTTCAATGATATTGACCCCTGCAATATTTGGATACACTCTAATTTGACAATTCTCAAGTTTTATGCACCTGAAACATGGTTACTTGCCACTTACCCACACATGATGTGACTAATCGCTCGTTTTTCAGAAAACGCACTCCTTTACTACCCAAAATCATTGAATTGATGCACTTAGTTGCCACATTAATCATGAATATTCAGCAGTGCTCAAATATATGTAGTTGTAATAATAGAACCAACCTCTGCTCCATGCATCCACGGTTTGTTCATATCGGTTATGCCAGAACTAGATTAAACAACCAGAAAATAGCAAGTGGCGCAAACGGTTAGCCACTAGCTGACCTGCTGCCAGTAGCTGGGGATTGACAGGTGAAGTCACGCCTCTTTGAGCTCTTTCCACAATTTCGCAGGGCGAGTCGGTGGTCATTGAGAAGGAGGACGGATCGAAGGTGACTGTGACCCCCGATCAGGTGCGCGGTCCGCCAATCCGCGGACGTCGCGTCGCCATCCTCGGCGACAGCCGCGATTCCTCGGAGCTGCGGCGCCTCCTCGAGACGGAGTTCCCCGGGACCGCGTTGGTCGTCGACTGCATGGTCCACGAGGCCACGGGACACTCGGTGGAGCAGGGCGATGCGGAGATGAGGAGCAAGGGCCACTCGACCGCGCGTGGGGCTGCGGCGTTCGCGGCAACCATTGGTGTGCGCCAGCTGGTGTTGAATCACTTCAGCCAGCGCTTCCTGGAAGAAGACATGTATTTGCAGTGTAAGCTTTGTGACGTATTGTCATTGAAATCAATCAATACAGCGATGAAGGACGGGATTGCTCCTAATTTTATCACACCAAACGTCATCCCCTCATAAGCAATTTGTGTATCTTCACCTTCCAGCACTGGATCTCATTTCACTAAAGGTCGTCCACTGTCCTTAACTAGCTGCCAACTACACATCGCACCGGTGTTTGTCGTGAGCATCCGATAGGAGTATTCACCAGTTCCACGTTATGCATTTGTGGATAGACAAACTTCCAACATATTTTCTTGTTTGCCTTATCTTCGTAGGTTCCAAGGATCCTGGTAAATACTCCAAAGTGTCTTCGCTGCTTGAAGATGCGAAGAGCTGTAAAGAATTCAAAGGGAAGGTGGAACTGGCCGCGGACTTGAAGGTCATTCCCATAGTTGCGAATATCGAAGAAGAAGGCGTACCAAAATGATCCTCAAATGTTGAAAATTTTATTGCCATATTTGCAAATCGAAAGTGGTTCTTTCTTGAAACGTTTTTTTTTAATGGCAAACACCGTGAATTGATAGCTGAATCGTGTTTGTTGTCGAATATCCGTGCTTTATTTTCCATTCACAAGTCAGAATTACGCATCAGGCGCCGTCCATCCGAGTCAACTACGTTGGCTACGCCGCTCATTATGCACCCCTTATCAAACGTGTCTATCTTTGGTTGGCTTCATATCTTCCTCGCATGCCATTGGAACGCTTGATTTAATATGTCTGCGCCCTTATACGTAGCTACAGTGTATTCGTACATTCACCCATTTTCACCAATAATACTCTGGAGTATTGGTCGGACATTGCGTTGTAAAGCCAATTAGCCAACATTAGTCTGTGGCAAACGAGGCTAGTGGGGAATTTGCTTTGTTTGCGAACACTGTTATGGCAATGAACTCAGACACCTGAGGTGGTGGGACTTGAATTTGCTTGGCCAGAGCGACTAAGTTGGATATCTAGCACCATTCAAATGACTCTCAACGAGAGAAGATAAATCCAAATAAATGTTAGATGCGCTAAGAAGAAATCTGCTGTTCACTTTTGCAAGACACCTTAACACTTATTTCGTCACAGCAGGAAGTTTCAAGCACCCTATTCTCCTAGTATCCATACGCATGATTGTATTCGGGCCCAAGTATCAGAATTTTCGAGTTCTAGGCCAACAATCGGGCCAGAAGGGAACCAACTTTTGATCTATGATGATTTTCAGCCAAAAAATGCTTTATACGATCCGATTTCCAACAGTTAGCCATCGTTGATTTAATATAGCAATTGTGATTTATCGTGTATTTTTTTGACACTTATATAGCAGAATCAGAATTCATCTAAATCTTACCATCTTCCAATGCATTGACTGGATAAATTTGATAACTTTTCTTGTAATACGCGAATATTACATTGGCAAATTCAATGAAAAAGTTTTCAAGTGACATCCGCAAACATTTGTATACAAAACAAGCTAAATTGGTTAGAATTTAAAGGAAGTTTTGTTTTAATGCATGCGGCATCTATTAAACTGCTGAAAGATTGGATTAAAATTGTTATATCATAAATAATTCATGCATTTATTGGCTAAAATATTCTCCTAATAGGTTTTCCATTGGTTTTAACAGTGAATTAGTACCTTGAACTGAATGTTTGATCTTGCCTTTGTGTATAGACATAAATTTTATTCCATTGTGAATCAAGTCGGTGATAATGATGCTTAATAGAAAATACCAAAACTCCAACAAAGGTGAGTTGAAAAATGCAAAAAATTTTACCAAAATCAAGTATACATGTAAGAGATGTCTTATAGTTCTTCTATTAGCTTATAAAAATGTGGAAGTTAGATTTTTTGGAATGGTGGCTATGGTTGATGTCTAAAATCATCAACTTCAATTTTCCGCTTAGAAAATCAAATCCAAACTGTTAAAGAATTGCTTAGTCCAGATTAACTGATTGTCGCTGTAATATGCTGTAAACAATGGAATAAAACCATCTAATTAACCTGTTTGAAATATTTCAACTGTTTTAATTTGGTTGAGTGATTGGGTTAGCTGGAGGTCGTGTCCTTGAGTGTCAAATGGTTATTTTTCATATTCTCCAAAATTAGGTGAAATGTTATGACGTCTAATTTTCTCCTGAAAGTGTTTAAACTTGAGTATTACTTCGAAAAACCATTTAGCGAATTCCAGTTGCCATATTCGGACTTACTTGGTCGAGCATGTACGCAAATGCCTGTGATTCGATGTTATGGGTCATCACCCTCAGGTGTGTTCCATTCCTTTTCACTTTTGCTTGTTCCAACCTGCTTAACATTCGATCGTCGAAGTCTTTTTTGACTAATATTTTGTGTAATGGAAATTGTGAAATTATGATCACTTGCATTATACTATTGACTTTTTATCTAAATGTTGTCATCTCTGTTTACTTGATCATATACAATAATATGTAGTAGCCTTTAATCTTTATTGCAATATTTTTTTAATGTAACATGACAAACCCAGTGATTCATCTGTTTTTAGCATCTCCACCGTTTATGTATTTTAGGTCAAAAAATATGCGCACACATTCATGGAGTATTGCCCTATCTTTTTATCGAGGATCACTCAATTGCTTCTTGCTCAGATGTTAGTAAACTCCGAACCAGCTTGCGATCTGTTGCGCAAAGGATTGAGACTACTCTTTCAAAAAAATCTGCTGACGGAAATTATGGGAAAGTTTACGTATATGATATACAACCTCTTTCTGCAAGGCAGGTGTTCTCTTTGTTTATTTTACAACCGCGCAGATCCATCTATGGGTACCGGAACAAAGATTCTACCTTTCTAAAAATTTGTCTGACCGATCCATCTGACATTGCAATCCTGTCGGAGTTGCTCCTTAGTGGTGAGGTGCTGGGAATTCCAGTTCAGCCGTTTGAAGTGCACATCCCCTATTTGCTTCAGGTTTGCATCATGTCAATTGGCTTCACTTCTACACATTAGTTTTGTGCGGATTACAACATACAAGGCATGAATTACATCGAAGCGACTTCGTACAGAATAAGAGGCAGGTCTTGCGTACTTTTTTTCTCCTGTTCCTTAAAACAGCCGTCATTTTCTCTAATAAGTTACTTCGTCTTCTTATTTGGCATTTTTGCTTCCAGATTATTCGTTTATTTCCGATGCTAGATCACAGATTTTATGTATGTTTTTAAGATGTTAGAACCAGGAAAATCGACTCGCCAAATGACCCGAACGACCCTCTGACCTTCGTTTTAACTCAAGAACATTCTCTAATTGGGTAGGTTGCCTGCTTCTCTTGTTTTAGTCACGTTCCCTTTATTGCGCATGAATGACTTACATTTGTGAACTCGTAGGTCCCCGGAATATGGCCAACGCATTTCCCTCCAACGGCAGTCTAGTACAGACGTGGAAGTCGACATTTCAGCTTGTGATATATTGAATCGTCTTGAAGTTGCCGAAGGTACGCACTCAAGCTTTGTCAGTTGTGTTGGGTAAACTTAACGTGTAACTGCTATTGGTGTTTTCCCGCTAGATGAAGCTGCCTTTAATCCGGGATTGAGTTTCTTGTGGGCAGAAGAACGTGCTCGTCGCGAAGCTTTGCGAAATTCTGGGTTGATAAGTGAGGAAGATCAGGTGGTACCCACTGCAGATGTCCTTCTCCCACTGTCAGGTACGCCTCTTAAACTCTTCTGTCGACTTGGAATCCGTTTTACCAGTAATTTTGATGCCATTATTCTACTGAGGCTTTCTTTTTTCCATTTTGCCTATTCAACCAGAGCGGAAACGCCAAAACATTTCTTCCAGCCAGTGAGTTGCTTCTTCAATGTGCTCTGACGAATGGAAGGCATCGTCTTTTTAGCTCACTAATGCTTCAAATCATCAACTATCATTGCTTCATGCATATTTTTCGTTTTATGGATTACAGCCTTTAGTCATCGAGTTGTAACAGATTTTGTTATCATAATTTCATCCTAGATAGAACACATAGTAATAATGGATTGATTTACAACCAATCATTAATCCCATTTGGGTGGTTTTGCTCTGCTGTCAATTCCCCTTTCTCTGCACACAAAATACTGGCCAAGGCTGTGTTGGGTATGGTTTACCTTATCTTTAATTATCTGGGCGAAAGTTTGATACAGCAGCAACTAGGAAGTGTCTGCCGCTTCCTTATTGGCTCGAGATGTGGTGGTGACGACGACGATGATGATGGCTGTGCTTTTACCTTTCTGATATCCACAAAACCGTCCTTATTTGTCTTAAGCTTAGCTCACTGAGCCCGTAAGTGGTCTGCATTTTTGCGGCAGAAAATGACCTATTGGTTGCGGTTCGAAGGTCGTTGTAAAATTGAAATCACTATTTACCCACCAATCAGGTTATCGCGCATGTACAAAGTCGTCTGGATCCAATCACGTTGTGCCGTTTGATTTTGTGGTTGCGATTGGTGGAACAAAATCAACCAATGGCAGTAAACTCCAGTGTCGCTGATCGATCCCCGCATCGCTCAATCACACTAAGCCAACGCCGGTTGTACGTGTGTCACGTGATGCACCAACACCCCCTGATTAAAATAGGTACCATCGCAGTTATCGATCAGTATCGTGCGGCGTCCGATTAGCCCATGAAGTAGTCTAATAACGCTGTAAATAACAACTTTTGTTTGATACACTCGTTTTTCCTTATTCACATTTCATAAGCATTAGGACGTGTCTGCCAATTTTTGCGCCTTCCTCACCCCGTCGCATCGGTTTATTGATCGTAGGGTTCAGGAATCTTGATCGGTATTCACGAGTTCCGTGTGCCACGCAAACGAAGAGAACTGGTGATTTTAGTTTTCCTCAGCACACACGTTCCCATCTTTTGAACCCTGTTTATTGAATCTAGATGGTAACAGATGTTTTGTTGTCCTTGTTGGGGTCAGTTTGTCCGTCCTGGACGAGGTGTGTGTGATTGAGGTCACTTTTTTCCTCCTTTAAACGCCGTAATGACGTCTTCCCTGATGCTGGCACAAATTTAGACAGCTGCGTTAATTTTTTTAGCACATTGTCTGAGCTGGAACCATGGAGTACCCACTGTTGTCAACTTCGCCCTCAATTTTGGGCGCAGACATAAAACTGCATTTCCGGGAAAGACTGACGAAGTTGTCGTTTAATAAAGAATGTGGTTTCTCGAAACAAGCCGAATTGTGTAGAAATTATAGTTGACAAAGGAACTTACTCATGCTGCAATATGATTGGTGCTGTAGTCACGTGCACCAACTCAACCTGATCCCGTGATTTCTCATCCAATTACAACGTGATTTCTCTTATTTAAGGCCGGCCAAATGCTATCCCAGTGGACAATGAATTGGATCAGATTGAACAATTTGCGCGTCTTGTCGAGGGTACGTTTTTGATTGAGTTAGCTTGGTGTGTGAAGTGTGTAGCAATGGACCAATGTGCTAAAATTCGCCACACCAAATGACAGATTATGTTGACGTGGTCGCGATCGTTGTTCACAAGTCTTGACGTTGTCCACTGTTTGTTTTAACAGCGTGCACTGGTACTTCACGGCAATGCTCCCAAACACCAATGACTTTCGGACACACTAGTGATTAGCCAATAGGGTTTACGTGAGAACTGAGTCAAGTTTCACCGTCTTAACGTCCTTCTAGAGAGGTGCTCGAATCTGGCAGATGGCAGCGTTCAGGAGAAGTCAATTGTCGACAGCGGAAGCAGTCAACACTCAACGTGTCTCTCCCAGCGAGCGTTGGATGAACTGTGCGATTTGGCGATGCTTTCGGAGGAGTCGGACGCCTGGCTTACTTCTTCCATCGTCAGTACGCCGACGTCTTCACTTCGCAGCTTCCTCCATGCCAGTCCAGCGTCGTCATCGTACAAGGTGGGCGAGCTTGTGACTATTCTGTCGTCCTTTTAATCAATTTGCACCGCTAGCAATCCACAAATTGGGTGATTGAAAGATTTTGCGCATTTGTGGCAGTGATTGCCCACAGAAAAGTTTTCTTCCACCATAGTATTCTCAGGACGGCGAAGTTTTGGACATGAACAATGTGTCTCCATCTATGTCCCCTGTGAGCCAATCGAAATCTTCTCAATTTGAAAACGACGCCCAGACGGACGCAGAAATGACCTTGGTGGCCAGTGCAAGGGCGTCTGTTTCGGCTTACAAGAGTGTCCTCTGTAATAATGACGATGATGATGGGAAGGAAGATTCTCTCGAAGAAGAAAGGGATGATGAAAATCTCTTCATGAATTTGTCAATGGTGAGTTTGTGGAATCATTTCACTACAATTCTATTCTCGTCCCTCATGCACCAATGCCCCCACCTTACAGTCTGCCTTCGATTCCACAATGGTTTCGGAGCAGTTCGTTGAAGGTGAACAGAGCGACAACGAGGATCTTTTCCCCTCCTTTCTCGACGACCTGACTGAACTGCCCGACGAAGTAGCGCCGTCAACGTAAGTTCCATGCCTAATATCCCAACCTGTTTATTGGTTAATCACACAATCTGATGTTGTGTTTTATGTTCCTTGCTTGGTGTAATTTCTCTCTCCTATTCGCCGTCGTTTTACCACCCTTTAAGATCCACTCCAAGCCGTCTCCCTCAAACGGACGGTGGAAATGACACGAAGAATGCCCCGTCCCCTCAACAAGGTACCTTTTTTAACTCACTGCCTGTCTCTTTTTAGTAATTAAAACGGGTGCCCTAGCACAACTGACATAAAGCACCGACTGTCCACTGTTGTAGGTCGTCATCAGCGTCGCAGACGGTCTTTGAGACTGCGCCTGACGGCGAGTTACCTGGCTTCTCCTGAAGGTCTCGACCCACCCTCGGTAGATGGGCTGGGCGAACAGAGCCCCGTCAGCAGTCGGCTTCGTGATTCTGCAAATCGCCTTAGACCTAAACAAACGACAGATAGTGAACCGCAGGTGAGATTCTGTTGTTTTTATTTCGATCACTTCCACGCGACAGATTGGCTAAGAGGAAAGGCTAGTTTTCAAGAGTTGATTACGTTTTGTTAAGAGAAGAATGTGCATTTCCTAAGAGCACACAGAAGGTGCACTGAACCCACTGACAAAGGTGTAATCTCCTTAAGTTCATTCAGTTGATTTGACTTATCTATTTTTTGGCTTTAGACATCTCCCAACGCAGCGTTTCTCTCGAGTACTCCATCTGCTGCACATCACGGACTCAAAGAGTGCTTCGTGGATCTTTCAAAAGCTTCGCCCGACGTGGTTTCTTCACCGAATATGTTCGATTCGGTGCAACCTGTGACTCCGCTGCGCAAAACAGTTCCTCACTCTCGTGAACCGCTGAAACATTCACCATTGCCACCGTTTCAGGAGGAAGACGATTTCCTGTTCGACCCATGGGAAGACTGGGATCCCACGATCCAGCGGTTTCCACCCGACGCAACTCAGGTGTCCGACGTAATGGACAGTTCTCAGCGCCCCTTTGAGCACCATCCGGAACCCATTGAGCCGCTTTCCTGTAGTCTAGGCGAACCAGATTTCGCTTTGCATTCCTCCGTTTACATGACGTACTGTGGCATGGAACCCCCCTCCTACGAAGATGTTGAAGCTGAATTGCTGAGGAAGAAACAGAGGCTGTGCAAAACTGCAGTGAGAATGAGTTATCCCTCCACGTTTGTCTGGTTCCACGTCGCTCGTATGGTTACTTTTCATTGTAGGCGGAGAGCGAGGTGGCAGAGGAAGCGGTGAGTCAGGAAGCGAAGTCGATCAATAAGAGTTTGAGGGCAGAAATCGACTTGTCCACTTCCTTGAGCGGACTCTGGTCCCAGGAGCAACACAAGCGGCGCGAATCGCTCTCCGCTACCTCAACCAAACTCTCCGCGTCATCTCTCTCTATCAGCAGACGAGTTTACCTGCCTGTTCAGGTAAATGCTGTTTCTGACGTCTGCCCGTGGTGTTCCATGGTGTTTGCCATTCGGCTCCAGCCTTGCACGGTTACATTAAGCTGCAATTCCGCTGGTGTTCGATTCGAGTATTTCTGCTTTTTAGGAGAACCATTTTTGTGTTGCCTCGCTTGAACTTCTCGTTCGCACGCGTCGCGCACACATCGGTTCCTCATCAAGCACCGCTGAAGCACCCAGGCCGTTGCCTAGACGATATAGGGGTGTTTCTCGCACCGACGGGCCCGCAATATCGATCTCGCGCTTAGGCGGATTCTACTTTCCCAATGCTCAGTTAGACCCAATTGAGTCGGCCTGTGTATCCTTCGGCGGCAGGTCATCTGTCAGCTTTCTTCTTGTAGTTTGCAGCCCGTCGGGGAAACCTTTGCTTCGACCACTGCCAAAAAAGTGTCGGGCTGTTGTAATTCGTTGCGAAAACGAGCTTGAATTTCTAAACTGGACGGTATTTCTAGTGCAAAGGTGACTCAATTGGTTTTTACGCCCGGCACATGTTCTTTGCTGCCATTTTTGTAACCCTCTTTTCCTTTGCGTGTCCGCAGTTTCGATCCCGACTTGCTGGTGGGTTTCGATGTGGAACGGAGGTCCTGGGGCTACGCTGTCGAGCGCGCGGCGAAGATAGGACGAGTTGGATTCACGAGAGATATTTCCCGTCTTGCGCCCGGTACGCTATCCACTCTACTGTTGCTTTGTTGTGGCCCAATATGACGCAATGTTTCGCGGAGTGAATGAGAATCGTAGGTTTTAGAGTTAAAAGGGCTCGACGATTACAGAGGAATCGAAAATTGTCGGTTGTTGTCAACTAATCACTTCAGCGATCAGAAAAGTTAACATGGCGAATATCTTGTTGAATAAAGGGTTTGATTTTCAAGAACACTCAACGCTACCGGACGCTTGACGTGGGCCTCTGTCTAACAATCAAGTGATTACCTAGATGCCATTGCCCGTTGCTTGGTCGATTATCACATTTTCATTTAATGTTCAATTTATTGATTATTTGTGTGTCTCTGTGTTAGAACGACTTCAGTGTCCGTCGTGTCGAGCGAACATCGACTTCTGCGCCTCACTGACCGCCTCGGATCACGGTAGAGTGTACGTCGCCGGCGAAATCGCCTCGGCGCTGTCCTGCTCCTGCTCTGCCGGCGGTTCCCTAGCGAGACGCAGATCTGATTGGCCGTGCGAACCCGGCGCCGGTCGTTCGGGCGGGCCGTTTTCGTGTCCTGGACGCGTCGTTCTTTGTCTCTGGCGAGTCCTTCAGCACGAGGTTCGTTAGACCGCTTAGTTCCACCGTGAACCTGTGTTTAGGCATGTGCAAGTCAGCTTCCAAATCCAAACCCGCACATGGTCTCTTGACACTTAGCTCAGTCTACACGAGTACTCCTTCGAGACGGTGGCTCTACACGTGCTCAAGGAACGTGTGCCTCGCTTCACCGACGGTCAACTCACCGCGTGGATGGAGGACACGAACACAGCAGCCAGGTACGTGGGCGAATAGGTGTCAGGCTCGAAGCTGACAAGCCGGCTCTACCAATTTGTTGCCTATCTTTCTTTGCAGGTGGCTAGCCATGGGGTACTGGATGCGCCGTGCAGAGGCCAATTTGCGGATTCTCGAGCGTCTGGACTTTGTTGGACGCACCAGCGAGTTCGCGCGTGTATTCGGCATCGAGTTCTTCCACGTGCTGTCGCGCGGTTCACAGGTACAGCCGCCGTCGTCTGCCCAAAACACGACCTCCTGAACTGCTGTCACACCCTGTCCTGATTGGTGGCTAATATTTTTTCAGTACCGAGTGGAGTCGCTGTTGGTGCGGATGGCGCGCCGTCTCAACTTCCTGCTGCCCTCGCCGAGCGTGGTGCAGCGAGCGCGCCAGCGGGCGCCCGAAACGATTCCCCTCACCCTCGAACCTCGGAGCGGCCTCCACGCCGAGGCGCCTGTCGTGGTGCTCGACTTCCAGTCCCTTTACCCTTCGGTCGCCATCGCCTACAACTACTGCTTCTCTACGGCCGTCGGAAGGCTCTCCAACCTCGTGTCGCACGGGTGAGTTCGTGAGCAGCACTCCTAACGTCTGATTGGTTGATCCCAAGTCAAGCATACCACTAGAACGAAGTGCATTCAACAGGTCACTCACTGTATTCTCGTTCCTTTTATCTATATTTTAAGTTGCTAACCTTCGTGCGGAACACACGTCAGTCGTTCCATTCATTTCTATCGAGAGATTGCCATACTAGACAGGTTTTTCAACGTCGAATTGTTCGGCTTATGGACATCAGTTTCGCGACTAGTTCGTTTTCAGAAATCCAATTTGTGGCCACCGTTTAGTCAAACAACCCATCGCCACTAAAAATGTCGCCACAAACTCAAGTACGTGATTATTTGCTGAAATCATTCTTGTCTAGTTCAGGGACACCTGATTACTGATTTGTAGGTCCGATGAACCATTCGACTTTGGATGCCTTTATCATTCAATTTCAACAGAAACTCTCAAGGTAAGTCTGCCCTCGAATACGTGGACTCAAGTCTCCCTCTAATGGGTCTGGCGTAGGTAATCGACGGCTTCTTATGTCAAATATGCGATGACCTTGAGTATTAACGATGCCGTGTACTCATTTAAAACCGAGGAAGTAGCAGCCGTTGCTCGATTATCGATCAACAATATAAAGGGTTTCGCGCCCCAGTGAAGAAAATCCTTTTTCCACTACCTAGATCAATCGATTAACCAATCCGAATGACGCATACAAAATTCTCTAACATAATTGGTTCTTTTGATCTGGGAAGTCGAATTAACAAGGCGTGAATGCTTGTGGGTGGGCTAAGTGGTATTCTGAATTGGGATTGGTGAACTTCCTCTTTGCAGGCATTGGTTGATCACGTGACAGTGTCTCCCAACGGTGTTGTCTTTGTCCGACCCGAAATCTACCCTGGGATTCTGCCTCGACTTTGGCGCAGTCTTCTCTCCTCGCGTCTCATGGTGAAAGACTCACTCAAACTCTACTCTCACCATCTTGAGGTGGGTTGCCATCTTGTTGACTTCAACCAATCAGATGCGCGGCTTGATAAACGTACCTGCTTGATGTTTTGGAGTACAAATCAGATTATTAACGCCATTCGTTTTATTTTTGTAAATAGTCATTGAAGCACCTACTGGATGCTCGTCAATTGGGGCTGAAATTGATCGCCAACGTCATGTACGGCTACACAGCCGCAAGTTTTTCCGGCCGAATGCCCTGCGTTGAGGTGAGAAATCCGTGTTTTTGCTAACATTTTGAGGTAATTTCGCATCTTTTTCAACCGCCTTCCGGTCCATTGGTAGTTCTGTGGGTCGGCCAACACTCTTCGCATGATCATCCTAGATTAAACCTCGCTCAAAAGCGCCTTCAAACGACCCCATCGAAGTCAATTTGGGTGTTTGTTTGAGGTTAAAATTGTAGCGGCGTGAACACTTTTCCATAGATTTCTCATCATGCTTAAACTCAAAATGTAATTTTCACTAAAAAGCACATTGACCTTCCCAATTTCGGTGTCAAAATGAAGAGAACAAGCTAACTTGAAGGAAACTAGATGTCGGATCTGAAATTCACCTTTATTAATTTATGCAGAGAAAGCCGAATGAACTTACATCTGAAAAGAGTGGCTATTTTTATTGGAAATCGATTTTATTGCTTAAGGGAGATACTTTTCTCACCAATCAAACAGAAAGCGCTGTCTTCTTGACTTGATTGGTTAGAATACCGCATTGCTCTGGCGAGCTGTCCTGTGTGCCAATGGACTTATGCTTTAGCACACGTGGACCAATCAAGACTCAAGCTTCATTTTTGCCTGACCAATGTGATGCCGTTATGGTGCGTTAGGTTGGCGACAGCATCGTCCACAAAGGCCGCGAGACCCTGGAACGCGCAATCCAACTGGTCGAAGGTGGTGAAGCCATCAACGCTCCGTGGGCCGGCTCTCGGGTCATCTACGGAGACACTGACAGTCTATTCGTCAAACTACCACCTGTTGGCAAAGATGACGCCTTTCAACTCGGCCGTCTCATCGCAGACGCGGTGACACACGACAATCCTGCACCGATCAAGTTAAAGTTAGAAAAGGTTAGTTCTCATGTTTTATGTTTCAGCTAAATTCCTGGAAGTGTGTGTGTGTGTTTAAGAGTGGGGATTTGGTGAAAATCGATATCTCCAGCCAATCGGATGAGGGAACTACTTGCCTTCGTTGTAATGCCCTTCTCTGTCTCTGACGTCGCCAAGCCAATTCCCTCGCTCACGCCAATTACTCGGTGGGTTTTCGAATCCCTTTCAGGTCTACTACCCGTGTCTGCTTCTGGCGAAGAAGCGCTACGTCGGATATGCCTACGAGTCTGCAGCCCAATCTGAGCCAATTTTCGATGCAAAGGGAATCGAAACAGTTCGCCGTGACCACGCACCCTTTGTGGGAGAGGTTGGTTTTGTCCTGTATCGTTGCTTCTTAACACTCCACTTCAATCGTCACTGCCCAGGCGCCTTCGATCTCCAACATGTAGAACCCACGGGGTTGTGTTTCTTTGCGAAGGTCTTTTGATGTGATCTTGTAGATCGCTAACTGCTCTGCCACTCACCTCTGCTACTTCTCAGTGAGTTTAACTCGCAGCTCCTTGGGCGAGGTAGTAGAGCGTCAGCTTGTCTAGTTCTGACCACATGATGGCACTAGTTTCTTCCCAGTTATCGTAGAATATTAACCTAGGAGTATCTTACTTTTAAGGTTCTTGAATCAATCATTCGTCAAATCTTCGACGCTTTCAATTGGGACACTAGTCCTCCGGGTGAGTTCCTTCTGCGGCTATCCGTCAGGCAAATGTGGAGCTTTAATTCAAAATAATGGCTCGACTCAAAGTTGCATAGATGCTATTCTCGCCGTTTCCAAAGTCATTTTGATTGGAACCTTGCCTCGTTATCCACTTCCAATGAGATATTTTCGAAAATCGCCGTTGTTGCACCACTTGATGTCACCTGACTGCTTTCCTTTCAGACATGCCGCTTCTCGAGTCTGGCATTCGAGAGAGCGTTCGTAAGTTCGTGGCAGAACTGAGTGTTGGCAAGGTGGCATTCTCTCGGTGCCTCATGGCTCGCCCCTATCGTGGTCAGACCGGCTACCGACCGGGCGCCTGTGCTCCCGCGCTGCAAATCGCCAGGTGAGGTCTCGTTACGTGGCCCCCCAATTCCACACGTCAGCCAATAGAAACACCGCGCAGGAATGCCAAGGACGCTTTTTGACCAATAGGAATTAAGAATTAAATACTGTGTTCAAAATGGTGTTTATTACAGGCGTCTCATGTCAGTTGACGTTGGTCGCGAGCCTGCTGTCGGTGAACGCGTGACCTACTACGTGACTCCCCCGCCCAGCCCCAACTCCCCCCTGATTGGTTGTGTGAAGGCTGCTGAGGAAGCATGGTTATCAGCTGCCAATCGGATGCCGTTGCTCAATCTCGCCTTCTACATTGACCACCAGCTGCTGCCCCCGCTGCAGAGGGTCTGCGAACTGCTTGGCTGGAACGTGGAGAACTGGCTGCGCGACATGCCTCGACGTCTCGTCCGCATCAAATCGAACGCGATGACCTCATCACAGGATGTCCTGTCTCAATCTCTGCGCGGTTGTCGACGACCATCGACAATTATGCGGGATTTCCTCAAACCCGCTGCTCATCGACCCCACCTCTGCCTCTGTTGTGGAGACGCCCCGATCCAGAACGGACAGTTAATCTGCTGTGATGCCTGTCTTGTGGAAGATCCGATGGCGCCTACAAAGCTGCTCGTACGAAATGGTGTTGAGGTATTGAATGCAAAGCGCCTACCCTTGTAGTCCTTGCTAAGAGTAGGCTATTTATTCAATTTTGTAACGATGTCGATGTCAACCAATCAGCGACCGCGTGCTAAGCACACGCATTCAAACCAACCAATGACGGGACCTCGTTGAGTTGACATCATTCTGATCTCGTACTACGAAAGTCACCCTTAATTACGCTGTCCAAACGCTAAACCTCAATATTTTAAAATCCAATGCTTGGTAGGGGAGCCGGGCAAATCGTGTTAAAGTTATCGTGGTCACTAACCTAACCTTCATTCTCCACAACAGATGAATGCAACACTTTCCCAGCTGCAACGGGCAGAGATGGTGTGCAGGCTATGTGCGTCCTCGTATCTTCGAAACCAGCTGCCGCCGTGTGTGAATCTCGGCTGTCCAAATCTCGACAGACGTCGCTGCCTCTACACACGGTTACGGCAGCTTGATGAAATCTCTGTGGTCTTTAACGAACTTGCCAACTTTTAGCTTTTGAAAAAATCCGCCCACACACATCCACCATGTCTTTCGACCAATAGGAATCAGCTCTCATCTGTTGTGTGCAAAGTTTTGTACTAGTTTTCAATGCAAATGCACGAATGCAATTATTGATGTGTGCTCGATCACTTTTGAGTTGAACGGTCAGGAGGCGGGTAGAGTATTTCTAGTGAATTATCGCGGAAACTGTATCTACGCTTGTCGTTTTGGTCTTTCCGTGTTGATTCTGAGCTCAGTGAGATCACGCTTCTGTCGTGCATTCTTCAAAGAGACTGGAAAGTAAAGCACCACCAATGCCTCGGATGTTCAATGATATCCGGAAAGTATCGGCTTTTAGGTTTTCCACACAAACTGTATTTAAATTGACATTTTCGCACCACAATATTTGTGTACTTTTTTCAGAACCTAGTCTTTTGTAGATAGGCCCAGTTACACCAAGACCACGTAAACCTTGCTTTTTACGCCTCTGTCTCAAATTACTCCATTGTGTTGACAAGAAAGTAGTGTAT